GTCTTATCATGTAACTTGTGCGTACTATACTACAAATTGTACTACTGGCTTTCCCCTATCTCCTTGTGGTTGTAAATCAGTGTTATGGGCTGTCTTCTGAACAATAGGCCACTTCAAACATCCGGCCAGTTAAAGCAGCTCCAAAGAAAAAGACTCAAAATAGCAAACAAGAAAATTTGCCTTCTTGTGGTATTATGACATTTTTTTGCAGTTGCATGCTTAGAATTATGAGAGCTAATGATCCCAATCTTTAAATTAGTGCTATTACATTACTAGACATGAGAATAAAGCATTATTTCCCCCTGTAAAGGAATGGATTAATCCCCCCTACGACGTCACGTTTAGCCACACCCACCGACAGGAAGTAATATGGCAGGAAGCAAAAAGGGCAGTTTTGAAAGCTCATATCTCAGTGAATAATTTTTTTTGAACAATGGGAGTTCTCACACTTCATTAAAAAGTTTAGGCAATCTTACTAAGACAATAAAATAAACACCTCAAAAAACCACTGAAGTTACCCTTTAAGTATAGCAGCCCCAAAGATACTACTTTTCAATCGAATTTGCTGCACAGCCAAGATTAAATTGCTGCTTTGCAGCTGAACAGTTCTTACATGAGTTTTCAACGCAACATTTTCCGATTCAAGATCCACAATCTTATTTTTCAATTGTTCAATTTCAAGTTGCCGACATCCAATTTCAAATTCTTGCTGTTCCAGTAGATACTATGCATCAGCCTCTTCAGTTGACCTATCGTTCACACTAACATTTTCAACTAAAGTCTCAGTTTCTCTTTCGGGTAGTTGACTTTCATCTTCATCTGCATTCATTCCGTCAAATATCCAATCAATCTCTCCATTGCCAGTACTCAACTCTTCTTCTGGAATATTCACGTCATTCACCAGTCACCACATCATCACTATCAGCAGACATGCATGGACTTGCAATTGTTTCATCATCAATGTGGACTGGAAATTCATTACCAACTGCATCATCTTCATGGCTACTTTCATGATCTTCATTACATGCACTCTCACTTTCCTCAAGTCTGAAACGATTTCACTTGTATCTCTGTAGCAATGTAGTTTGTTGTTTTTTTCTTCTTTTATGTCTCAGGTATCTTTCGACTGACTGTGATGCACTAGTTTCAGTTTCGTTGCAAGAAAATGAAAATAAAGACGGAACATAGTATAGGCTTAATATGATTGCTTGACCATAATGATGTATTCCAACTCTCATTGTCTAAAAAAAATTTTTCACTGAGATATGAGCCTTCAAAGATGCTCATTTTTATTACTTCCTGTCGGTGGGTGATGCAGATAACTCCATTCCTTTATAGGGGGAAATAATCCTTTATTCTCATGCCTAGTAATGTAATATCACTAATTTAATGATTGGGATTATTAGCTTTCATTATTCCAAGCATGCAACTGCAAGAAAATGTCATAATATTACAAGTAGGCAAATTTTCTTGTTTGCTATTTTGAGTCTTTTTCTTGCAGTTGCATGCTTGGAATACCGTATGGCTAGAAAATTTCGAGGGCATAAATTTTCGTGTTTTAGTGAAAAGCTCTTAATTCTTTAATTTCGAGGGAGTTAAATTTCGCGTTTTTGCACGTGCACTTGCATTAAGTCATTGATTTTCACATACTGCGCATGCGCAGTGAGCATTTTCATGGTATTAATTTTCGTGGTTAAGAAGTTACCCACGAAATCCACGAAATTAAATACCCCACGGAATTTTCTAGCAATACGGTAATAAAACTAATGATCCCAATCATTAAATTAGTGATATTATAATACTAGGCATGAGAATAAAGGATTATTTCCCCCTATAAAGGAATGGAGTTATCTGCATCAATGCCTTTAGTGACGTATGACGTCACATTTAGCCACACACACCGAAAGGAAGTAATAAAAATGAGCATCTTTGAAGGCTCATATCTCAGTCAAAAAAATTTTTTAGACAATGGGAGTTGGAATACATCATTATTATGGTTAGGCCATCATATTAAGCCAATAAAAAAATTCACCAAAAATACACCGGACTTACCCTTTAATAAAAGTAACTTCATTTCTAAACCTGAGATCTTAGAAGGACTTACCATTTCTAAAATGTTCACTACAAATCCTTGAAAATCGACTAGGAGCCCAATTCTTTCTCCTGACAGCAGCTATCCATCTATTTTTACGTTCAGGATTCTTTGGAAAGGTATAAAACTTCACATTTGGCTTGCCTTGGCGATTTGCACAACCTATAGCACAGCAAGAGAAGGCCATGCTTCACCATGCAGAGAATTGAAATTTTTCGAAATTTTTTCGTAATTATTCTGATGATATACAGTCAGAATTCCTTAGCGCCTAGGGGGTCTATATTACCAAGCTGCAAGTTGGCAGCAATTATAACAAAGTTATAAGGTTTCAACTCAACTACATGTATAATAACACGATCTTATCTTACATCAAGCTATGCTTCAAAGGGGCAGCAACTGCAATAAATCTCGTACTGTATAGTGTATCAGTACAAAATTGATGTACTATGGTTTTCACACCTTGATAACACTCCATTCAAGCTTTAGAAGACTTGTCTGTGTACAAAAATAGGCAATAGGATGCCACAAAAAGTGTTATACAATCCTTCCATGGGTAATAATGTTGTGGTTTCCTACACCAGTAATAAAATCCATGCCTCAAAAAGGAGCCACAGCTTGTTTCCCTAATCTGAGAATCCATGAACAAGAAGCACAAGCTCAAAAATAAGCTACTTCACTTCTTTAAGGGTACATGTACTTCATACCAAAATAGGTTCAGTGCCAGCAATGCTTAGGAGTGCCACTGTGCCAGGTGTAAAACTGCAAGAGCAATGCATGGACTGAGTAGTGTGAAACTTTAAATGGGAATAAGTTCATGATGACACACCTACTCATGCAATATCAGATTTACAAGCACATCCTATACTTATGACACAAACCTATGCTACGGTGAAAGTACTGTATATCAATCGAGGGTAATTATTGTCACAATAAAGGAAATTAATAGGTACCCAACTACCCATTACAACTAAAAATAGAATAAGCATTATTAATCTTACTCAATCTTTTTACACGATTTTAAACTGCCTAAAGAGCCACATGCATTCATAGTGCATACCTGTTCATCTTTACTTGATACTTTACATCCAGCTTCCTTTTCTTGTTATACTTGTTCCTTATTCTGCAATTACCCAATGAGAGAAAAGAGTGCATGAACACCATGTTTTCTGACAGAATTAGCCATTCCATCTAACAAGTTGTGTGAACCTATAATGCATGTACAATAATAATCAACATGTACATATACATACATACACTGTAGATCAGTCAATAGCAATTAACCTATGTCTTTCACTTTGACATTTCACATTTCTATTGCATTACATTATTACTACAAATAGTATTATACATTATGTACACGTATATTACCATTACTTCTTGTGGCAAGTTAGTAATACAAAATAATGAAATATGTACTTTTCTTATTTTTCTCTCAAAATGAAGAAGAATACTTTGATAGTTACATTAAATAACAATTGTTTAACCAGTGCTGATAATGAAATTTTACTGTTCAAGCGGCCATAAATAAGCCCTATATTTAATTTGACAAATAGGCTGATGGTTGAACCTGATACAGTAAAACCTGTCTATTGCGGGCACAATAATACTGTCATGATTATGGCAGAGTCATTATTTCAATAGCAAACGTTTATATTGTATTGGGAATGATACTAGCTGCTCTGATTATAGAAGTGCCCTTTTTAGAGTGTCTACAACAGCCGGTTTGACTGTAGATGCCTTCATATCAGCAATAAGCGTCATTGTTGGTCACTAAAGTTTATTACCATACACATGTACATGTAGCTCAAAACTTAAGATGTTAAAAATGGCAAATTTTACAATTTAGGCCTGTAACACAAATTTCTAATCATAATAAGCTTTTATAAGTAGTATGGATATTTTAAAATGGCAGTGTATAAGCACTTTAGGGTTCAGTCCAAAAAATATTTATCATGCTTCTAATTTACCTGATGTAGCAGGACCACTCTCAGATTCAGAGCTGACACCATCTTTGAGTATTAGAGAGCACTAGCCACACCATCAATGCAATGGGCCTACAAATCACAAAAATTATAATCAAACAAAATTAATATATTAATCAAACAAAATTAATATATTAATCAAACAAAATTAATATATTAATCAAACAAAATTAATATCTTAATCAAACAAATATCTCATTTCACTCATTTGCAATAGTGAAAGTTTAAGCTTTGAGCTATATGGTATAGCACTTTATTTTTGTCAGTCTAATTTTTTGGCAATCGACAAAAAATAAATATTTACATGTACGTGCTTCTACGTTTCTATGCAGAACACAGAGTGATGACAAAAATTGAATTGACAAATGCAAGGTAAACGAGAAATTTCTTGTAGACAAGAATTGACGGTTATGTACGATCTAGATGTATTTGGTTTCATTTGCCTCATTGTATCACATAAAGATGGTACTACATAAGAGGTGCAACTTAACTAAAACTCCAATGTAATCCCATCATCTATCATCTTTGCTCTAATTATGTATAGGTATTAGGTAATACACTAAGGTTAAGGTTTTTATGGAATTTATTTACACAGGGACACGGTCCTAAGGTAAATAAACCCATAATAATAAGACCAAGGTGAAGATGTATAACAGACTTCTATAATGCCAAATCTGACTACCCATGATTAGCAAGATTATATAAAAGCAAAAGTCTCTCTTTACTTCTGTGTATCTTCTTAAAGAAAATGGGAAAGTTGTTTTCTCCACTCATGCCATGTGTGTACAGTAAAACACACCCAGAACACGCCTTTCCAATTCCACTCGACCCATTAAGAAGTTTATCACATAGCCCAATGCTTTTGAGACCCTACTGTACAGCGGAAAATTTTTGTGGCCCAAAATTTTCGTGGATTTCGGGTTTTTTTTTTTCAAAATCCACAAAAATAAAATCCCTGAAAATTGATTTAATACAGTTCAAGATGGCCGAAAAGTAGAAAACCACAAAAATTGAAGCCACAAAATTGATTTTTGAACGGATCTGCAGTATTTTTGGGCCACAAAAATTTTCCAATATACGGTATTTCTTTCCTTTCTATGTTCTTTGCTACTTTCTCTGGTAAAAACAATTATTACTCAAGACAAAGAAGCTCTGCTTCGAGGTAAATAATAACTGTTAGACCCCAGACCGTCCGCAAGGTACATAACTAACAAAACCTGTTTGACCACTTAGTTACTTACCTCTGGCTCCCGGGCTGTCCACGAGGTCAATAAGTGATTATATTTATGCAATCTGATTAGTCAATTTCAAACAGTCATGGTAACTAATTTACCCACCTAATTTGCCATCATAACTTCCTGACAGCCACCTACATCACAACTGCACCCAGCCAGCTTAAGTTACTAATCCCTTACTATATATTATATGTATATATACACACAAACTTACGCAACACAAAATCTACAGCAAAAGAATCTGAGAATTCTCCACTGCCAGGTCATGAAGCTCGGGTCGGGGTAACATGGTCAAATGTAGTCTGGCGCTGGGCCAGACTAATCAAATGCGAGTAAGCTAAGAGAACAGAGTGAGTGTGTGGAAGCATGGATATGACACACGTGCTCCATAAACAAACACACACGTGTCACGTCCGTCCTGGACTCACAGCTCCACCTCAAGGAATTTGGAGGAAATGAGTCTGAGATAGGAAATGTTAACTTAATCTTGCATAACAGTTTGGGAGTTGGGACCGTTCTCGGTACCTGGAAAGATGAAGAGGTCGCCACTTGTGATAGCCTTTGTCTTCATTGTATTGGCTGCCTCTGTTAGGGCAAGTTATTACTCAAGGAAGACTTCTTACTCAAGAGATGTTGTTCTAAGATGGTTAGTGTACTGTAGTTTAGTGTGACAAGTTTTGTATTGCTTCTATATATATACATAGTAATAAGGATAACAAAGCTGTTGAGAAAGTTATGGAACTAGCTAGTGTTGATGTTTGGGGTGTTCATTCTGATGGTCTTGATATTAAAATGAGCAGGAATATTGCTAGAATTGTACTTCAGTACTTGCCAGAAAGTTGTTTCGTCTTGGTGTCCAATGTGGAAAATCATGTTAAAGAGGCAGAAGAATATTCGTTTAGCACAGAACAGAAAATGAAAGCTTGGCGGATTAATAACGGCCTTGTAAGTGTACATATAATGCATGGTTCGTTTATTTACTTCATTATGTAATCATAACCAAGGATGTTGTTCTTCAAGATATTGATGATGTTAGCAGTACTGATTGGCATACTGCATATGTAAGTTGACTCTATATTCATATGCGTGACGCTACATAATTACTTTGTCCTTTTCAGCACAACTATGAGTCAATTATTGAGTGGTATAAACACTTAGCAAAAAGTCATCCTAGTTTGGCAAGGTACACTACTATTGGTAAGACAGCAGAAAACCGGGACATGATAGCTGTGCATATCACAGCTTCAAAGAATCCAGGACGAAACAAAATGTACATGCAGTGCCTCATTCATGCAAGTATGTTTTGTGTACTGTCCACATAATAGTACTTTTATTTGTGTGTAATTATTTTCTAGGGGAATGGATATCAGGCTCTGTGTGTATGTATCAAGCTCATATGTTAGTACAAGGCTATGGGAACGATCGTGAGGTACCTAGTTAGTGTTGTGTATTTCCTTGTTGATATTTTCTTATATTTATAGATCACTGATTTACTTAATGATATGGAATTTTTGATTGTGCCCATAGTAAATCCTGATGGCTACCATGTAGGTTACCAAATTTTTAGTGTCATTTGTCATGTGATTATTCACTACAGTACACTTGGTCTCATAGTCGTCTATGGAGGAAGAATCGAGCTGTGAATTCTAATTCAGAATGCAGGGGAGTCGATTTGAATCGCAACTTTGATGCAGGATGGGGACAAGTATGTCTTTCATTCATAATTATTATTGTACTAATTTTTTTCAATTCAGGGAGGAAGAACATCTGTTAATGAGTGTGGTGAAACATATCATGGAAAAAAAGCAGCATCTGAATTAGAAGTACAACACATCAAGAAGTATTTCAAGTATGTTATTAATGTATGCGTGTTGTAAATAAATAATTACAAATCATTAGGAAGAATGTCCCCATAGTAGCAGCTATAGACTTTCATTCATATGGACAACTTATTTTAAGGCCTTATGGTAATTCTTGTTATTATTATTCTGTGATTTTAGTTTCAAATAAGGTTACGCTAAACGTTCTGCTCAGGATGAAAGTACATTTGCTAAAATGGGTAATGAAATGGCAAGGCAGATGACAGCTGTAAGTATTGCAATTAAATACATGCACATGTATGAAAATAAAACTAACATTTTAGGCGTACATTTCTCAGAGGTCTATTGATTTATATCCAGCTTGTGGAATTGCTTCTGACTGGTAAGCTCACTATTCTGTGCACAATAATATCAAAATATCATTGCAATAGGTTCTATAGTAATGAAGTTATAAGTGCTAACAAAGGCAAGAGGCCAGCATCTTTTACAATTGAACTGAGGGATAAAGGCCCCTATGGCTTTCTTCTCCCAAAAGATCAAGTACTAATAATTACAAATCGTCTGCTTTTATCAACATTAATAGATTATGCCTACTGTTAAAGAAGTCAAGAATGCGGTCATTTATTTGGCAAAGAGTGTTAGAGATGCTCCTTTGGAGAATAAAGAAAGTAGTGATAGTGATGATTATAATATTATCATGAACTAAATCAGAAGTACATTTAACAGTAAATAATAATTAGCAGTACTATTATTATCAGCAAAACAACTTCTTTAGTTGATCAACAGTAAAGCCATATTTATCTCTAATAAAACCAAAATTCAAATGTTAATGTAATAATTATAGTCAGTCTATACAAAACAAACTGACTTTGCACTAAGAGATGTAGCCATTTCCGCACTGTTGCTCATCATTTCTTTAATCCTTTCCTCTACTGAGTTCTTCACATAAAACTTGTGAACTACAACAGGTCTATTATAATTATAACTATGGATTAACAGGCTAAATTTGTCATCTAACTTTGTCTGTCCCATTCTATGTACTCTACCAATTGCCTGTAACTCAGCACCAATGTTAAGAAACGGCTCAACAAGTATTACCCTAGTAGCTTCAACAATGTTTAATCCCTTTGATCCAGATGACAAGTGCATCAATAATACATTAAGCGTTAAACTTGTCTTAAACTTCTTCAAATTCACCTAATACATTTACATGTAGGTTAATCATTTCAATAATGATCTAGTAGGTATTACCTGGTATTGCTTTTTGTTTGTCAAAAAAGCATGATCTATATCATTCTCAAATAAAGCATGACTAATAAAATTCAGTACTTGCATGCTCTGAAAAAATACATGCACAATCATACTTTTGTAAGATGTTAACTCACTGAAGAGAACACCAGTGACTTAGTGCTTGGTTCATTTTGTTTTATTTTTAGTAATATCCCAGTCACAGCAGCTATCTTAGTAGAATAGCTTCCCTAGTAATATCAATAGCATATAGGTATACATTAGCACTAACCACTACCTTAAGTAATGGAAGACTTTCTTCCTCAAGTAGTGATGACTTAACAAAATTAATTTCATGAGACGAAAGTTTCTCACGGCACATTGGACATGAAAGCTGCACTTTACGAGATATAGCTTCTTCAATTTGAAGAAAAACTGGTTGATGTGATGAAGGAGCATGACGACAAATTAAGGAATATATACACTCCAAACAATAACAATGCCCACAAGGGAGCACAGCCCACTATATTAAACAATGCTATACCAATTATTATCAAAATAGAGCTTACCCCGTCATTACGTTGAAGAGGGCCAGTACATATAGGACAATTGGAAGGCTCTTCACTGTCATTTGTCTTTGTCAGGTTTCGAAGGTAAGTTAGTTGTCTCAAATTTCTCTCTAGTGACAACTTAGACATCTTAGCATCAGACTCAAACTCCAGTCTTTTTGAGCTAAGCTAAAAATACATTGAAGTACAAGTACATGTAGGATCATTAGTATATAAGTATAATTATAAATAAGTACATGTATATGCAACATGCTTAAGAAGTAAAGCTTCAAAATTTTGACACACTTAGTTACACTGCCACACTACCAACCGACTTACTTCTGAATGTGATAAAAATATGTCATTAATCTGCATATGATCAGAGCCACTCGAGGGAAGTAGTTTAAAGCGTTTGGCAGCCATACTTAATTCATCATAAGCTCTGATCTGTTGCTCGGCAGCCATCCATAAACGTGTCACAAACTGTCAGGAACAGAAAATGAAAGAAAATTAATTAATGTCCACTAACTTTAAATTCATTCCTTAAGGACTCTAAATAATTCATATAACTTTTACCTGACTCAATCAGGGACAAGGGGCCACCTACATAAACAGCAATGTACAAATTAATGCACATACAGTACATGTAATAATAATAACAATAATACTTTTAGTGATGAGGAAAGAGAGCATACACTTTAGTAGCCTTTCATAGACACTTGATGAACGAGATGATGCACTAAATATTCTTATTGATACTACTAAACACAATAACTTGAGCGTACTTGTCATCAGTCCTTATTTGGTATTGACTGAATAACAATTTCTCATAATTCTTTAAAGCATTCTCAGCTTTGCAAAACAAGCAACTAATAAAATGTAAATATTATTACAACTAATAAGATCATACAGTGCTGCTCCCTGGATAATTCTGAAGTGACACTGTGTAGCAGCTACTATATCAGATTCAGTTGTAGAGTGAGTCAGATTATTCAACATATGCAAAATTCGTTCCCTTTCATTCTAAAAAAATTTATGAGCAAATCAAGTAATTGAATAATAATGTTTACTTGTAAAGTATCGATGAAGTTCAACACTGAATATTGGAAACCAATCAATGAATGAAATCTAGTAAGGAATTAAACTAATAAACATACATGTATATGTACATTACAGCAACTAAATTGTGATAAACAATTAAGTGTCATCTATTACTGGAATATATAATACCGTATAGTGGAAAATTTTGGAGTGGATTGAATTTGGCATTTTGATAGCCATTCACCAAAATAAAAATCTGCCATTCTGAGCCATTATACGCATGCTCAATGGCACGTGGCCACAAATTCGCCAAATTAAAAACTGCCAATCAACAAAACTTAGCAATTCGCCAAAATTTAGTAATTCGCCAAAATTTAGCCTCTCCAAATTTACCCGCTATACTGTAGTACTACGATAATGTTATCATAACACATTGTAGTACTACATAAAATATTACTCAAGCCAATAATTGACCTACAATTGTCATAAGAACATAATACCCTTGGCAGACAAACAAGCATATCTTAATCAAAACTATCAGACTACAAGTATACTACATGTAGCATGTACTGATAAGCCATGTACGTAAGTTTACTTCCAGCAGTCAATTACATATATATGGCTGTCAGGGGAATAAAGCTGACTCATAGCATCATGAATGCGTAGCACAATTAATTAATGCTACTATAATAGATTCACTATAAGCTCTACATGTAATGTATAAGTTGTACTACAGTATTCATATGTACCATGCATGCACAGCATTTGCCTCATACACTTGTATGTTTTAAGATAATAAGCTCAAAGTACCAGAGAAGGTAAATACAGCAACCTTACATGCATGTTATGGAACATGAATCACTACACGAGGAAATAAGAGAATGAAAACAGAGTCCGTATTATCATAGATATCAGTTTCAGTGTTTATCACAGGTTATACGCTACTACTACTTCCCTTACTACTAACATCCTACTACAAAGTGCACAAGTAATTATAATAATACAACACATAACAGTAACATTACCCAAAAATAAAGTCTGGGAAAAGATTTAATTCATACTGAAGTGACGAAAATAATTCAGAGCTTAAGTCATTAGCAATAGACCAGGAAACAGCTGATGACCACCAATGAAATTCAGGAGCCTTTATCAAAATTTGTTTAATAATTATTACTCTCAACTACACGTACATGTACATGTGCAACTCACTTTATTAATTACAGTAACTGTGAAATGTTCCACCTCTTTAGCTTCAACTTCCTTGTCAGCTTCTTCGACATCGTCATTCAATTCATCATCAGTGTCCTCAACCAAATCTTCAGCATTAATTTCAATATTATCATCTGCCTCTTCAACATGTACATGTACTTCTGCTTCTTCATTAGGGCCATGACAAATATTATCTAGTGGCAATACTTCGCTCTTCAAATGTACATCTTGAATTGTGTAAGCCTAAAACAGACATAATCAACTGCACCACACTACCTACACTTCCTGTCTTATAAAGCACAAACATTTTACCTTATTTAGTGAACTTTTCACAGTAGATGCAGCAACTGACAGTGCACGAACAGCAGCATTTACATTGTTGTGCTGCTTCTTAATGTACTCAGACCTTAGCTTAGCAGCCTAAGAAATACATGTGATACTACATTGTACCATTCACTGTACTCTACATACTAAACTGTCCAACTGATCATCAGAAACAGCACAACAATGAGAGGAGTGTCCTTCTTTTATTAAATTTGAAAGGTTTTCCATTGTGTGAATACGCTAGTCAAAATACAATGTATTATGTATATGTAAATATATCAAGAATTACCAACATACTTGAAGTCTATCACATTCATAGTCATCTTTATAATTGTTCCAGGTGTACATCGCTTCTCTATATGCATCCACTGCATCTTGAAACTGGCAATACAAATCACGACACAAAAATAAAAATACATGTACATGTATATGTGATTCATCGTACTTTTTCATTTAAGATATGTATGCCAGCCATTCCATTGATTGCAGCAACTAACTGCCGCAAACTTTCCCTTCCTTCTTGCTTTGCTTGCACAATCATTTTCTTTAGCAATTCTTCCATTGACATGTACCTACATTATATCATGTCAACAATTGAAATTATATTACATACAAGTATAAAACCAATACATGTTTGACTCTCATCCACTCTTTGTTTGACTCATTAAGTCATAAGCAAAACTTAACTAACACATACACACTCAAGAAGCAGCTCTAAGGATCTACATGTGTAATTACACTTTTCTTATCAGTTACTATCACCTTATAGGGTTTTAATAAAATAAGTGGGCGTTTAATTAAGTGATTGCGTGGATTGATTAAATGAGTTCCTCTTCCAAACCTGGGCCTAATTATAACCACATGTTGAAGCAACAATACTACATACTGTAGCTCATGAGTCAAAGATTACACTTTTGAACCTATGATATCAGTACTGTGCTGCCTTTAAAGCAATAGCAAAGGAACAGTCACTCAAGAAGAAATGTGATAGTCATAGGTACTAGTTACAAAGAAGCACTTGAAAAGAAGCATACCTTTACTTATAGGCTCTACATCATTAAGCAACGTTATATCAGTGCACCTGAACTAATAATTAATAAGCACATAATTCGAATGCAAGCACATAAGCAGTGGCGTAGCCAGGATTTCTGGAAAGAGGGGGCAAGCTATGCGGTGCGCGAAACGCGCCGCGAAATTTTTGCGAAACTACACCCTTTTGGGGCGTGCCACACCTATTTTTTTCAACATGGCGGACTTCTTGACCGATCATAGGCAACGTTGAATACCTTTTCAGCCTTATAATGGCATCATAGAAAGACTGCTTTGGCCTTTTCCTTTCATATGTAAGTTGTACAACAGCTTTTCCTTCCAAAAGCAGCTTATTATTTGATTATTTTTAAATTTTGAGTTTTAAAAAAGGGGGGGGCAATCGCCCCCCTTGCCCTCCCCTGGCTACGCCCCTGCATAAGGTTATGTGTATATTCAAGAATTCACAGTACATTTTGAAGGAACTAACCTCTTTTTAAAGGATGAAAAGTTAATATAACCGTTCTTTACAAGTTGGGGATGACAACAAGCTAGTCGAAGCTTATGAAGTGGTCTTAACAGCTACAATACGGATACATGTAAAGCACTGGCTTTCAAAAATTCATCATTACTTTATTGACAAGGGTGCTATCCAAATCAGACAAGCTGGTACTAGCTTCACTTACCTGGTTCGACACCTACATGTACAATAAAATAAAATATGTATAAACATATCTAGTAGTTCTACATGCAACATACTGCATTAAACATCTTTAAACAAAATTCTTCTTGTCTTTGATAATAATAAGCCTCTACAGGACTCAGTGACAGTGAATGTTCCTGCTCTTCAAGTTTCGGCCAATTAAGCTACAAAAAGACAATACCAACATTGTGATGCAAATATCATTTCAAAAGTAATACTTCATCAGCGACATCTTCTTTAGAATTTCTCCACATCATTTTTGAAAACAAAGCTACTATTGGTCTAGGATCCCCTTTACAATAAGGAAGTAGGATCAGCTTGTTCCACCAGTGATTTACAGAATATGGACGATAATCCAAAAAATTTACCAAACCATACAAATCTAACCATGCTGAACCAATAAAAATGATTGATATTATATACCTCTTAAATCTCTTTCAACAGGAGTACCAGTGACACACCATCGATTTTGTGACAAAAGTTTACAAGTCATTTCAGTAGCCTAAAAGTTAAAACAAAATAGGTTATAATGGCACTAAAACTTTAATTCTGTCCTCAAGCTACACCAATACCACAATTACAGGTACATCTAAATGTACATGTAACTACAAAAGCCACTTGATGAATTATTTACAAGTATGTGTTTGAATACTGTATAGCTTCAAATTTTCATCAGACAAAAAAATTACATCAAATTCGTTAAAATTTTTGCTTGACAAAATTTTTAAGCAAAATTTTTACTCCATGTGGTTAGTACAGGTATATGGATTTATAATAAAATGACTAAAATTTAATCAACAAAAAGTAATTTTAACAAGATACTGAGATTTTGACAAAATTTTTGACTGACAAACACTTGGGAGCTGTACGGTAAGCTATTACAAATGTAAATACTCACTTTTGAATGTGAAGATTCAACCATTTGGGCCTCATCCAAACATATCCTCCACCATTTAATGGCCAATAAAGGACTGGGAGGGTATGCATAACTTTTAGGACGACGAAGTTTTATAGAAAATTCATGATGACGAACCCGATCTAATTCCTTTCTAATCGTTTCATATGTAACTAGTATTATATCTTTAGAAATTAAGTGAAGTGGGTTAATGTATTCCTTAAATACACCATTATAGACCATTATTTGTGCAGAGTCCATAACAGTGTGCTTAGAAATCTCTGCCAACCACTGATAGAGAAGAGTCTCTGGAACAATAACAAGAGTAGAACCACAATCAATTGGCTATATAAACAAAATTAAAGTGAAATTCAAGATTTCATTGAAATTTTACCTTAATATACAGGCATTTGATGCAAATAAAATCTTCACATTTCTCCTTAACATAATTGACACATGGAGCATGACACCATAACGAGCATATGTCACACTGAACATAGAGATTGGAAGGGTTGCCACAAGTACACAGTGTCTCTTCCTCTTCCTCTTGGCTAACATCTGTCCCTGCTAACAACTGTCCTAATTGAGAATTTGAAATACATGTACAATGAATAGTGTAAAGCTACCAATAAGACTAAAAATAACCAATAAGCAATAGGAACAAAATACCTTGCAGATTATCTGTTCCAGTATTTTGAACATCAATAGGACCAGCATTTTCACCTGCACCACTACTGCTCTTATTGAAATGATTCAACGTAATACTGCTTCCCTCACTAACAAAACCTTCTGCATCTATATTTCTGCCACTAATACTATGATTGTTCTGAATATACTCCTTAACAATGTCACTGCTTCCACAAGACCACTGATGAATCAATATCAGAGCAAGAATTTCAACAGTCTTTCCCAAACCCATTTCATCTGCTAAAATTCCTCCTTTAGAATATGAAGGCATCAAAAATTTGACCAAAGACAATCTGTAAAATACAACATGTACAAGTAGATTAGTAACAATTTATTGCATGATTGACACAATACAAATTAATTATTACAAACAAAAAGTGCATTTAGACATACTGTACATACATGTACAATGTATACATGTACATGTAATTTTAATAGTTGAAAAATTTTAATTACCATATAACGGGAAATTTTTGAGGAATTAAATTTAACGAATTTAGCATTTCGATAGCCATTCGCCAAAATAAAATCTGCCATTTTGAGCCATTATACGCATGCTCAATGGCACGTGGCCACAAATTTGCCAAATTAAAATTTGCCAATCACCAAAATTTAGAATTTTAGTCCCTCAAAAATTTCCTGTTATACGGTAGCTATACAAATAAAGCTAGAAACTTTTTAGTATATTTTTATGACAACATAAAATCTAGTCCAGGAAAACATACCTTCCAGTGAATAAATTGTAATATAATGAACTATGGCCCTCAACGGGAACCTCTCTCCATAAAACATGCTGCAATTCCTCCTCCTCTTTCTCTTCTTCTATATCCCTCCAATTGTCAGCTCTTTCCTTGTAAAGCATCCATTGTACTGCTCTCTTCTGGTAGTCTAACAAGTCAGCAGTTAATAATGGAATAGTGGCAGGAAGATCGCAGGTAGCTTTCCCTTTCAAAAGATATTGCTGGTGAACCCGAACAAATTTATAAAACTGCAATATTTTGGCAGCAATGGTAGTGACAACATGGTCTGGTAAAATAAAATAATTATTTTAAATTACAATACTTACTTAACTCGTTTCCGAGAGATCTTTCCAGCTCAGAACAGCCTGGAACAATATCATGTGGTTCTGTGAACACATTAGGATGCAAAGACTGCAGTAAGCTGGCCTTAATTAAGGAGGATGACTTTTGTGGCAAGTCATCAAGAGTTCTTTCATTCTGTAAGATAAAGTCTCCAAATACAGCTAATACAGTTAAACGGTTTGATGATACATCAAAAGGAAGGCAACAAACAAATTTTGCTCCTCCAATACGATACAAACGATATAATTCATCAACACTCTCCCAATTAAAGTCGCATGATAGTTTCAGATTAGTACTAAAGGACACATAACACTCTCTATCATCAATTCCAATGCTACATTTGACTATAAATTGAACGGCATCAATACCCCATTGTAAGAAAAGCTGGTCACAGTACAGTAATAATTCCGAAAATCCAGTGAAATTCCCATCAAACCTTAAATGACCCACTACATGCCAACCTGTGACCAACCTCTCAACACCTTCTAAACCACCTTTCAATAATGGAATAATTATAGTGTGTCCTTCAGAGTAATTTGTTGGGGGTGGAGGTGTGTGTGGTGTCCATGAAAGATCACAGTCATTGTAGTGTGCAAGACCAACCCTCTTCATAATATCGGGTGGAATATCTTGATCATTTTCTGAACTACGGCACAAAATAGACTCTGCATCCGATTCCAGATGTCTTTTTTGGCTCGTCGATAGATTTCTTCTTTTTCTTTTACGAGTCGACATGTTTAGAGGCGTGGTCATGTTGAGTTTGGCGGGGGATTCGTATACTCATTGAAAACGGAGTAGATCTAACGTATACTAGTCTCATCACGTTTAGTCACGTTGGTACTTTGTTCAGTGTTCTCCGAGGTGGTCTCTGTCTCTGTCTTTCTCTCAGTCTCAGACTGCAGCTGTATTAAGAGATGTTACCAGAGAAAAGGAAGATCCATCACCGTAAGATAATAATTATTGTAAAGTGGGAAATTTTTGACATTTTAATAACAAAATCTACCATTTTGAACTATTCTCATTGGCATAATACATGTAGAGTAAAAGTTGGTTTACAATATTACGCTAGTCCTAACGTTGCATTTATGCTGGAATGGAATCTGGTTCTATTTTAAAGGAAAGCGTGCATCAAAAGGTCAAACCGCCCACACTTTTGATTAAAAATTGACTATGTTGGCCTAAGGTCATACTGTAAACCCGTCTCGAATTGAGGCTATCCCGTCCCTCTATGTTAATGAATGCAAAATCTGTGTGCACCGGTCACAATAACTCTCATTAGACAGTCCTCTTTCTCATATTGTAACTTCTTAAAGGCCTTCCTACACGAGGCAACTTGTTAGTAATAACATTTATGGTTACTTCGATCTTGTAAGCAACATGTTGCCAAGAATAGAAAGATGTTCTATTTTTGGCAATATGTTGCTTGGTTGCTATCAACAAATCGCCTCGTGTATGAAGGCCTTAATTATAGTAGGTACAGGATTCAAACAAAGGCATGTCTATTCAGCACAGAATTCTCTAACTACCAGCACCACATAACAGCTTGATTTTTATAAAGCGCAGCTAAACAACTCTGGCTAATAATTTAGGTTTATTAGCTTTTCACGTATTATTATGGAGTTAGTTTCTTTACATGTCTATTAATTTTTCATCCATTATGCATCGATTTTCTGTATACTAGTTAGTATCCAGAGGGTCAGAACAGCCCCAACAACTAGGTCCATGAAAGTACTGTTTTTATTCAAACTTCAAGGAGAATTTTGTTGATGTCAAGAAGTATAAATAGAATAACGTATAACGCTTTAATTTGGTGGAGTTTTACTTTGGCGATTGGCGGTTTGCAAGCAGAATCGCCAATATTAAAACTGCTAATCATTAATTAATGTGCATGCTCAGTAATGCACGAGTACACAAAAATCGCCAATTACAATTTTACAGCAAAATTGCCAAAATAAAGTGCTATACGGTAAACAAAATATAACTCATTGATAAATAAAATAAAGCAAAGAAGAGTGAGTTATGACTTCATCATATTTAATTCGATCATAGTGCAGAAACGGATCAGAATATCCCTGATTTACTTTATATAGTGATAGTCACAACATAAAATTAGGCATTAATCAAAAATTTAGCAATTTGCTAAAATTTTACCCTTCAAAATTTAACCAGATGTATGGCAGTTAAAGCTCTTTAGCTTTCAAAGAAAGGCTAGAACTGAAAATGTGGATTGTGGCGTTAAATTTTGTCAAGTAGCCTAAATAGGCAACCTTAAAGTTCACATATTTGAGCTAAAACTAAGCATATCTAGCTTTTGCAGTAGCATTAAGAGCCTTACATACCGTAAAGCGGGATTTATTGACAAGTAAAAAATTTGACAAAACAGAAAATTTCCCCAGTTAGTGAGTTTTAATTTGACAAATAGTGCCCTTTGTATACACAAGGCACAAAGTACAGAATTTTTTACGGTTATAAAATTTGACGTACGTTTTATTTTAAATCGTCAACTCGTCAAAATAAAACCTTGGTCAATAAGTCCCGCTATACGGTAATCACTGGAGTCCCACAAGTAGGCACAGTTTTTGTCATCATGATGCTTTGATGACTCATTTTCGCTCTTTCTTTAGAATGAATAATTTATTCCAAAAAGGGTCTATAATATGTTATAACATGACGATTTGTGGGTCGTCAAGAGATTGTGCTATACCAAGAGAGAAAATTTGTTAAGTTTTTGGTTGAGCATTCCTTACACATGAGGACACTGGCTGAACTAAAGTTACCGTATAGCGGGTAATTTTGGAGGGAATTAAATTTGGTGTTTTGATAGCCATTTGCCAAAATAAAAACCGACCATTTTGAGCTATTATACGCATGCTCAATGGCACGTGGCCACAAATTTGCCAAAATTAATATCCGCCAATTACCAAAATTTAGCATTTTGCGAAAATTTTTCCCCTCTAAATTTACCCGCTATACAGTATGAATAGAAAATGAGTGATGAGTGATGTCCTTTGATCTTTGACCTGATTTATGAGTTGTGAAAAAATCTAGTTTTGATCAAAATCAGCTCAAAGATTCTACACAGCACAAGTAAATTTATACTCATCATATAATTATAATAAAAGTGATAAGTTCTTTCCTAATGATTTTTAATCAAATTTGGCAAAAGATCCGGCACTTTATATGGTTTTTGGCCTGATTTTTGAGCAACTTTTAAAAATTGTAAAAAAATTCATTTTGATTGGAATCAGCTCAAAATTGTTGTGATGGGTTAAAACTATTTAAAATTAGTCATTATTATTCTATTGGGTATTTGTTACTAATTATGGGTTGTGTATATGGTCCTCTAAGAAGTCTGGTTAGTGTAGGAGCTAGTTTTTATAGTAAGGCTGCAAAAGTTGTGGCAGCCATATTGTTTTTGGGTGAATCCTACTTAGTAATGCTACCGCTTTACTAATAATACTACCATGTTACTAATATTATAGGATGTTTTGCCCTGGTGTCAATTTTTAAGTGGGGTTAATAAAAGGGTGTCTTCCTCTCGTTAAGGAGGGGGAGGGCTAATAGGTTGTCTCAATCTATCTCGTTGCTTGAGACATGTGGTGAAGTACTTTTAAAAGTACTGCAATATATTTGGAGTACTTTATATATTTTAAAGTCCAATCAGTATAGCTGTAATGAGTACAAGTACTTCAGTAGAATACTTAACTTAGTGCTTAGCTTTCATGAAGTACTTTTAAGCAAATGTACATAGAAATGCTATTACTAGCTGTTACATTATATAATGGTAAAAACTGTTGTTAGTTTTCTTCCCTCTGCCATACTCTACCTTATAGACTATGGGTTATTATGTAAAGTGCATTGATGTATAACACTAATTTATTACCAGACTTCGCAAGTCTATTACAATTAATGTACACCTTAGCTTGTTAACTTGACCTTAGGTCTGGTAAAAGTACTTCAAAGTCCTTCAAAAGTACTTGAAAGTACTTTGATATTTTTTCTGTACCCTGAAATACAAGTACCAACCAAATTTAATAAAAGTATGTAAGGCACTTGGCAGTGATGTTCTTAATAAGCATACTTACATGTATGTACAAGTACCCAAGTACTCACCCCATGTCTGCTCATTATGGTTAATTTGTTCTCTGTTGTAGGCTGAGAGGCTGAGATTGTGTTCTAGTGGTACAGTCACTCAACTTGAATCAAGTTATTATTGAAGAGGCAGTAGAAACAGTTAGTTATAAAAGTACTGTCTAAACATTAGTTATAAACGTACTGCATATTAAATGTATAAATACATGTATGTATTTGTAATATCATTAGTTTATGTGTGTGTATTAGGTACAGGATAATGGTAGTCTGATAGCACAGGAGCTATCTAATCGTGCTGGTGTATCCATAATGTTGGCAACTGAACGGTATGGCCTGGTTGTATAGTTTAGTATAGTTGGTGTATTTATTGTGATATTTTTTTCCTTCATTAAGGTTACTGGTGACTGAAAAGGCTGGAGGAGTGTGCAGGGATGAATCAGTTACAGTTTTATCGAAACCATTTTCTAACTGAGTTACACTAAATTTAGATGCATTTTTAAAGACAAAAATAATGTGGTATTATATTGTGTAGGCAATAATTATTGTGGAATTAATCATTAACGTCAATAATGTCAATTTTAAAGTGCAAATCCCTTACGCACTAAAATCTGGGATGAATTTTTATTTGCCTCAGTAGTGAAAGGAGTAGCTGATCTTATAAAAGAAGATTAAAAATTCAAAAAGAATGGTATAGTCAAATGAGCAGCCATACCATAGCTGCATGTGCCGTTTAATTTTCTTAAAGCCAAATTATTCTTTTATTTATTTCTTTTTTATTACCTATTCCCGAAAAATCAATGCACTATTGTTATGCATTACTGAATTTTAAAACTTGCATCAATAATTATGTCGTCTTCATATCAGCTGCCTCTATCATTCAAACATTGGCATACCATACAATCGAAAGTCAATGTAACAAGTACAATAATTATTCAAGGAGTAAAATTTTGTTCTAGTCTTACACTGTGTACTCATTTCCATTGACTACTGGTCATTGTAACACTTGCAGGTGTAAATCAGCCTTAAAATACAAAAGATCCTGTACCCACTTGAAAGCCTATACATGCATATCATTTTGAAGTGTAATTGAATTGATGACTGACCAGTCATATATAACATATGGCAGGACTGGCACACAATAATAAACAAAAGCAAGATAAATTTTATCTATATGTAAAACAGTTAAGTCTGGCAATCAATTTGCAATTGCCAGTCATTAAATCTTAGTTTATTAAATGTTTTTCATTCTTTACGATCAATTTCATTGCTGCTGCACTGGAAGGAGAGGTGGGCGTCAAAATTGATTCTTTCCCTTTGTACTCCAAATCGAATGTAAGCTCGTGTGTTGGCCTCAGGTAAATAAGATTCGCTTTGATCATAGCATCCACGACCTCTTCTGTCATTTCATCACAAAGGTCATCATAAACAACATATCCATTTTCATTCATTCTATTCATGACAGTAAAGAACTGTTCCCCGGTCCATTTTGTTTGCGACTTCAATAAACCATATGATGTCAAACGGTTCATCTGCTGTTGAACAAACGAAAAATGCTCAGGTAACACACTCCCATTGTTAATAACGTAATCCTCACAATACCGGTCCATCAACATGAAGTTCCCTCCACAAACGGCAAAAACATCTTCGAACTTAGGAGCCTTGAATGATGGACGAACCTTTCTATATTCAGGTAGAGCATGCTCTTCCCAATATTTTTTAGCTTCTTTTTTGGACAAGTGTCCAATGACGTGCGTTTTAAATTTATCTGCTCCAATGAACTTTGCCAACCACAAACGATAAAAGCTGTCACTACTGGCCAGTACCACAGGAAAATGTTTAGTACACTTGATCAAAAACTCTAGAAATAGTTGCAATGCATCCGTTCCTTCCTTGGTAAGTGTTAACTTGGAAATTTTGTCAGCATGGTCAATAAAAAGAATGGGAAATTTTTCACTGGTCGAAAGGCTGAATTTTGGCAAATTTTTCACAACAAAACTAAAAAACTTTGATAATACCGTCATATCACGTTTGTAAAGTTTGGCTGGCACTAACGTGGCATCGATATCAATCATTCTATCGTACCATGGGGCAAGAGATTCCTCCATTGCATTGAGAAAAGATGGAGCAGCACTAAAGGGAATTCCCCGCATGTCAAGAGCAACAACAGGGCTTTTCCTATCTTCCCATCGTTCAATCTTCAAAACCTTTTTTAAAAGAGCCGTCTTGCCACTATTAGGGGGCCCCGTGAACACATGCATCAGAGGCTTTTGGTCCTTACCCAAAATCTTCGAATACTCCTCTACTTCCTTCTTTCTGTTAAAGAAAAACGTTGAGCGATATCTCGAATTACAAATGCGAGCAAAGTTGGCAGTGGTCACCGTGGGATTTGCGATGGTAAGGTTCGTCGCCATGAGTTTCACGAAAAACTTCCCTCCATTAAATAAGATGATAGCCTAAAACAAAAAATTAATGATAAGTTAACCCAAACAACACCCAGCACATACCATTTTACTGATTTTAGAGCCAAAATCTCAACGGTGACTAGTCTAGCCATAGCATAGACTAGAGCAATTAAATTATGCTGCTGCTGCTGCATGCACGTGGTTTTAATTAATTGATAGCAACCGTAAATGATTAAATTCGTTGCTAAGGCCTCCATTTTGTTTTGGTGGGACTATCAATAGCTCTGACAGAATTTGTTATTTGGGGCCCTCTGGAGGAATGCCCTCTTGGGTAATGGTGACAGGTATCGTCTTCATGTGGCCCGATTCAGTTCAACCACTGGTGCTGTTATGACATTTACATAGTAATGTGATTGAAGTAAGTTAGAAAAGCATACACTGAGAATTATTCAATCATACCCAAGTGGGGTACATTTGCCCATGTGTTTTATGATGTGTGATTGTGTGGATTATTAACTAATAACTATCCACCAGATCCTCAATCGTTAACTAGATTGATTATATTCATTGGGATGCCGTTAAAAACAAAATAATTTTTGGCCGCCATCTTGGAAGTATAGTTTCCTAATCACTGAAGTGGTACAGAAATGGAGATTAAGGCTGGAATCTTTTCTATCTGGATGCAGCTCCTTTGCTTAGTCTCGCGTGGTCAGACTCTCCATTCAGAGTCTGGCCGCATAAGACTACCTTTGCTCTGCTGGAAAAATGGTAAAATAACACCTTTTCTCCATTGAAGTGGATTTTTTAAGGATCATTTTTACGAATGACCCGTATCTGGAAGTTCACAGAATTAGTTTTGCGAATTTCCACTATTCTGCCATCTTGTACCGTGTTAAAGGGATTTTTAAAGAATTTAATTTTGTGGTATACCCCCATCATGGTAGCCAGAATAATTTTTCATTTACGGTATCCAAATGAATATCATTAAAAAGTCTATGAATATCATGCATCTCATTCACACGGATTTAGTGGAGTTGAATTAGCTTACTAAATGTATAGATCTAGCTTTTGCACAGATGTTATGAACTGGTAAGGTAGAGTTTTCTATTTGCCATGTTGAGTGGCATGAATGTACATGCAACGAATGGAGGAATAGAAACAAACTGGTATTTTTCATCAAAGAGATATCATACTTCGCTGCAGAATATCATAGAGTTTTTTACTCAAAACCTTCATCTCCTATTTTGTATTATCCTAGAATTGGCTTTATGTTGACCTTACGTTGTTACCCAACACGACGGACAATTTAGCTCAACTTTATTTGTACCCTTCCATTAATTACATCTGTACAAGACCTCTATGTACAGGCAATACGTTCACATGTGCAAAGTGTTCTATATTATTTAGATTTTTCTCCATTGAATCATGTACATGTACTTCATACTGCTTAAATGGCCAGCACAAGTCCCCAATTGACATGTACATGTCTATGTTACTCCTTGATTATTTGCTTTCATGCATACTGTATATACTACAATTAATTGGTGGTAGTATTATAGTAGTATAGTAGTGGTGGATTATTAGTGGGTATGGTTTAATTAATACAGTGATACAAGAGCAGATACTATGATGGTGCAGGTGTCAGTGAATGGGTGGCGAAGAAAAAATTAACAAAGACAGGTTGGTATGGTTTGTATATTATCAGCTTTTGTTTATTAATTAGTATAGGTGGGGCTTATATTCTGCCAGCTACATTGAGAATGATGCAAGCACAGATAACTGACAAAACTAGGTATAAGGTTTTTTATATTTTTTTTGTCTTTTCCTCTGTCTCCTTTCCTCCCTCTCTCCCATCTTTTCCTCCCCCCTCTTTCTCTCTCTAGTATTTCGTATCAAAAAATGGCTTTGGAGGCTCTTTAAAAGAGTATTAATGATCTATCAACAAGGCACATACGATCACATGATCACAAACACACCCAGCTCCTAAGGTCAACTTTTTTAATGTTGTCAAACGTCGATTTGTTAAGGAACTAGTGGAACTAAACATGCATGTAGTTTGTGGGTGGTAAGTTATTTATACTTAAATTATCCAATTGTGATATTTTTGTTGTATTGTTAGAGGGTTATTAGCCCATTCATTATTAGTAACGCAGTAGCGTTACTAAGTAAGATTCACCCTACTTCAAAATGGCTGACACAACTTTTGCAGCCTTTTTATTCACAGGCAGCTTCACCAACTTTTATGCATGTTTATGCTGCACTAGCTAGTAGCAATAATCAATACAAAATTCCCAGACTAATTATTGTTACTTTTAAAGAAGCATTTAAAAGAAAATATTCTAAGAAGATTTATTCATCTTCACTGAGCACATTAATTTTAGTGAACCAGCAGGTAAAATTCAATTATACTACATGTGTATAAGTCAAGTTTTTTCCAAAAATGGCTCTGAAATTACCATTTTTATGCATTTTTGATGACGTTACTTGTTACACTGTCTAGAAAGTTTGAGCTGAGTCTGATATGCACGTTCATGTTATATTTTGTTATTTTTACACTGTAGGTGGTTTAGAATTACTGACTGTATTACTTGAAGATCCTACGAGTGATTCAGTTGGAGTTGCAATTGGTTTTATTAAAGATTGTAGATCCATAACTAATAGATTTATCAAGTATCAACGACAGGAATAAAATAATGGTAACAAAAATAATTATGTTTATAGATGGTTTATTTTGCAGCCTCAAATTTTGTTGTTTAAATTTTTTGCTGTGACTATAATAATCATTGTAAAGACAAAGTGTGATATATACTATTTTATTAATTACAGTCCTCTTTCAATTTGCTATATTTTGACATGTTACTATATGCATATGTAGCTGACCTTTACTTTGTTTATATTTATAGATGTGTTTTATCAATTATAAAGCAATAAAAGAAGAGATATTAGGGTGGGGCCTTCTGCTGAAGAGGAAGGGGAGAGTAACAATTAAGATAAGAGTGAGGAGGGAGATGGTGGAGAAATGAAGATTATACAGTGTAGATGATTCACAAACTTCACAAGTTAGAACTGAGGAAGATAATCTATCTTAAGTACTATAGTGTCAAGGTACATGTACATTTAGTTGTGTTATTACTATACTATCATATACTTAAATTTTCTCAGTTTGGAACTTAAAGATTGTGCACACAAGCTGCTTAGGATAGAGAAACCAGGACAAGAGGTTTGCATGTCCTTCATTTGACTACCCTTTTGTAACAACACTCCTTTAACCACATCTCTTTCTCCTATAGCCTGTTGTTGTTAATAGGATTATTGAGTGTTGCAGTCAGGAGAAGTCATATTAAAGGTTTTACAGACTTGTAAGTGAAAGATTTTGCCATCTAGAGGAGAAGTGGGTGGAGAAATTTGTTACTACTTTTCAGAAACAAGTAAGAGGGAACATTAATTATTTATTTATTTATTTATTTTATTTTATTTATTGTGCTGCTACACATAGAACACAGATTAATAAGTTAATACAAAGTGTTTCCAAATTTTTGCTCAATTGTTATACACAACCACATTGTCATGGACACGCTTGTCATTTAAATGAAAAAGAAACAACATCTCAGAGTAAGCCCTGATTATCATGTCACTATTGACCATTACATATTTTCTCTATTAGTCATATTTTCATCAAAGTTTTGTTTTCACATTTGACAGAAGATTTGGGCACTCAGTAATTGAACAAGGCTTTGAGAGGTCAGTACGTTATCAATATCTTATGATGTCATGTGACTTGGATTTTTTAGCACTCTCTCAGTTAAAAGAATCCTTTTAAAAGATAATGGAGGAAAATATACATTTTTTATTAATTTTTCACAAGTATTGGACTTGGAAGACTCACGTGAGTAATAAGATAATTAATGTTGATGATGTCATAGTTAGCTAACTGTTTAATGATGCCATAATGGCACTGTTATATCCAGAGGGATTAGGAGCTGGAGACTTTTTGTCTCCCATATTTGGTCTTGCAGGGTTCTATCTAGAAATTTTTGTTTGGGGAGGAAGCCCAGAGCAGTTGACGGGGGGGGAAGGTTGTGTACATACATGTGTATGTACATGTAGAGTACATGCATGCAGTTACAGAAGTACACAGGGGGGAAGCTTGAAGTTTTGGGGTGGAAGATGAAGAGTTTGGGGGAGAAGCTTCCCCCCCACTGGATAGAACCCTGTCTTGATCTCCTTCAGTCTCTTAGTATTATCTCTCCCATAGCTTGTGTCTGGTTTCCATGTACATGTACTTGTGGCCGTTGTATGGATTCCGGGGATATCATATAACTGTTGCAGAGTTAGACCTGGGCTTTAAAGTGTAACTGCAGTGATTTTGGGAGTATTTATTTTATAGTCTTAATAATGACCATAAAAATTATGTGTTCCAACTCCATTGTTTATGTAAAAAAAGTTTTTTCTAAATATAAACCTTTAAAATGCATTTTGCTTCCTGCCATATTATTACTTCCTGTCTGTGGGTGTGGCTAAATGTGACGTTATAAGATGTATTGATGTACATGTACATGTAAGTCTATTCTTATTCTCATGCCTTGTAATGTACATGTAATAGCACAAAATATTAAAATAGGATCATTAGCTTTCATTATTCTAAGCCTGCAACTGTAAGAAAAAGTGACAATACCAAAGTCATAATAGTAAGATATGCAGACTTGACTATTTCAAATACTTTCACTATGGCGATAATATAGAGAAGCTAATTCAAGCTGTTGTGATGTGATAGTAGTATACATTGTAAATTTTGAGCTCTAATGATAGTGAATCTGGCCAGCCAGACTAGGCATGCTCGCTAACAAATGTGATTATCATGGCAATGGTAAAAGCTAGAGTGATATTTGGTAGAGCTTATGCAAGTGTTCAGTGAAGCAGACCATGTTGTAAATGAAAATGGTTATGCTCATAGCCTTATTAGCAGCACATTAAACCATGTACAATGCATACATACATGTACAAGATGCTACATTTATTGTATTGTTAAATTATATCATTTTTAATTCAAAATTTATGAATTAAACATTAGCACATAAAAGCTAAAATTTCCGGACATACTGTATATGGAAATGAGCCCGAGTTTTTTAAAGTCTCCCATTTTTAGTTACATGTAGATTAGTCTCTTAAATTTAAAAAATTATTTTTATATAGATCTATTGTAGTTATATTGACATCACAATTAATGAAATTTTGTTGTTTTTTTTTTTTAATTTTAGTGATGACTTGAGGAAGCATATTTTGAGAAATATGGAATGGTAGACTATTAATCTATTTTGTTTGGTTTAGTTTTTTTTATTTTGCATTTGTTTGAGGTTTATTTCTTTATGAGCAAAGCCCTTAGTTATGATTTATGTATTATTATGCTGTACATATGGATAATCATAGACATTTCCTATGGGATAAGTGTGAAATGTTCACACCCCCTCATTTGCAGCCGAGCCACGCCCTGACTAAGGAAATTCACAGACAGGCTGCAAACAAGGGTGGAGTACAGAATCTTTCTTCTCTTCAAACTAAACCTCCCCTTTTAGCTCAAATGGCATCGAAGATTGTTGAAGCTGTTCGAAATAGTCCCATAATTGGACGTAAAGGTGGCTACTCTCCGATAGTTACGCACAACAGCGACCCTTTTGTGCAAGGAATTCCATTTCATGCATACCACCTTGCTACCGTGGATGTTCCGGACCGAGTAGGGACAGACAAGGTTCAAACTACAATTAGTATGGCACTAGACGAAGTGCAAAAGGCCAAGAAACAACCACCAAAGGTAACACTCATTATAAAAGCGGTTTCGATCACTGTACGAGAAAGTTCCAAGGCCGAGACGGTTTATCCCATCTATCTCATATCTTATTGTGGTAATGCAAAAGATACTGATGTTATCTTCTTCTTCATCTTTAAGAATAAGGAGGATCAAAAAATTCGAGCAGAAGTTTTTAAGTGCTCCTCAGATGAAAAAGTCCTTGCAATAACACGTACAGTTTCAAAAGCATTCAATATTGCATACAAAGCATGGCAAACAAAGAAACGACAAGAACAGCGGACCAACTCCCCTAAAAGTTCACCATTGCTTCAACAAAAGACAGCCAAGGATACAGTGGATTTAGGTAAATCCATTGCTCAGAAAAATGTTGCAGCAGGGGGATCAAGCTACTTCACTCCACCCATCCCTCGCAAGTCTCCAGACAAGGAACAACGCCAGCGAACTGGATCTCTTGATGATGATGAGGACACAACAAAATTAGCCTCTACTCTAAAAAATGCAGCATTGGACAGGGTGAAAGTTAAGAATGAAGCATCAGGTAAGGCAATCAGTCAATTTATACCAATTATACATGTACAACTAGGTAGTACACATGATGTCACTGTTACTGATGACTTTGATGATGGGTTTGGAGACCTGATTTCTGAGCGCCATGGACGCCCAGTGGCTATTAGTCCACATGATAACCCAGAGAGTTTCAAGTTTGAAGAGGTCAGGAGGCACACAATTACAGAAGAAAGTCCTGACGAACCACTTATCCAGTTTTAGTTTAGAGAACTTGATACTAATGCTGCTTAAACACTTTTCATATAACTTTAATATTGCTATAATAAATTTTAGTTTAAAATGCACATTTAAATGGAGGTTTCTTTGATATGGTCTTTTTTCCTTCTATTGATCTGCAATAAATTATTATGATAATGCTAAAGAATATTAATTGGATAAAGTACCCTGTGAGTGCCTTTAAGGTGGTTGATATTTCTGTTGTTTCACTGTTATTTGGCCCATATACTGCCATAAAGACTTCTTGGGCCTTTGAAATGAGTCATGAAGTATTAAACCTTCAATTAACTATACTTACCAATTTTAATTGTTCCGAACCCTTTTCAATATGGCCAACCTGAAGATACACAGAAGCTAATGTCTTTCTTGTACGTGATACCTGACAAATTTTTAGCAGTTTAAGTACATAATTATACCTTCACACTGCCTTCCCCATACAGAACTGATTGGTTAACAATTAACTCTTTCAAATGTTTTATTGCTTCCTGTATTAAAATTAAGGAAAATCTTTAAAATGAAGAATACCTCAAATCGTGACTGCATTACCAATAATTTGACCAATTCTTCCTATACAAAATTTGAATTTTTTCATTCATATTTATGTTGTATACCTGTACTAAAATGGCTTTATGATGTGAAGAACTTTTTACTAGAACATAAATATTATATGCACCCCATAGTGTATCTTCTAATTTTACAGCAGCTAGAAAGAATAAAACAAAATAGATTTTAAAATTTTATTTACTGTCATCAACGTCATTAGTTTCTAATCCATACATTGTAAAATAAACTTTAGCCAATTTATTCATAACATCAGCTTTTTCCTCCGACACTTGACCAAAGCTATTTTAAACGTTATAGTTAGTGACATTGTATAAAGTGAAATACCATTCTGATGCTAATTTTTCAGCTTCTTGTAGTCTTGAAATTGATAAATCGTAATTCCCTTGTAGATATTTAACCTGTATATCTTTAGGTAATAAAAAAACAAGCAAAACACTTGCTTCTGCAAAATCCATTAAAAGAAGTGTTTCGTCATGAAAATCTTTAACTGGTAGTATCTTATATAAATCCAATGCCTATCACAATTCTGTCATTATGCTGACAAGATATATTAAAGCAATTACCTTTTCAAAATAACCTTCAGCCAAATCGAAGTTTTTTTGTTTAGTACATAATCTAAGACCAAATTAAAAAGAATTTTAAAAATTAAATCACATTACCTTCCTAAAGAAGTAGTTATCTTCATGTCTAAATCTGGATCGTCTTGACAACTTAATCGATAACGGGTGAAGTAATTTTCCGATTTTGACAAACACTTTTCAGCATCAGTTAACCTTTAGTGAAATTTATTTAAATGAATTATAAGTAAATGCATACCGTCCATTAAGAGTCAGGATTTGACCAAGAATACAAGTGGCTAATGACAAAGAGTGAAGACAATTTGAATCATCTCCTAAAGTAGATGATAATGATTCTAGAATTTCTTTCCCCTCTTGTATATGTTGCAAGGATTGTTCTGGCAATCCTAGGGGACATGAAAAGATTCTCACTACTTAAGATATAGAAGCATGTATTATTTTAATATTTATTTTTGATGAAAAAGTAAACAACCACAAAGGACTATATTTATACGTTCACAAATATAAATGCTCAACTTACATGGATTAAGGCTACGTTTACACAGCAACGCAAAACGCATCGTTTTTAAGGGTGCTGCACCACCGCCCACGCAAATTTTTTAATCTGTTGCTAAGGGAGCTGTTTCTCCCAAAGTACTTTACCAATCATAATGAAACCAGTACTAGTTACAAGACAGTAACTAAATAAGTTAGTAAGCTACCTTGGAGCCTTTAACTCATAATAGCTATGGCATCAAGAGCTAAAATACTAAAGATTTTTCAAAAGCGAAAAACTCCTCTTACTTTCGATTTGAATAACCAGATTTCTAGGTGAAGGCAGTTTTTAACCAAACAAATTGATTAGCATAGAGATATTTCTCCTTTTCTACTAGTAATGCCACTTAGTTTGATTTTTATATTGCTCAACACCACATTTTCCTATATTAGCCCTGTTTAATTCAAATATCTCTATGTTACTGTATGTGTAATCATGTAAAGAGGCTATATTGTAAATTTGGTCTGATTCTGATCACTACAGGCAAAGTTTTTCGAAAGTTTGCATTTTTCTGGCATAAAACACCAATTCAAAATCTAAACTTCATTTTACAGCTTTAGATATTTCCAGTCCCTTTCTTAAAGGTTTTTCATTAAAATAAAACCCATTTTTAGAGGAGCATAAAGAACCTAATAAGATTCTTATATGGGACACTTGTATGGCTTAAGCATTCCTGCATAAAATAATTGTTGCTATAGGCAGCACCCTTAAAGTATCCACTTTGAACACTAGTTTTGTTTCCATAGAGTTCTATCAAGATTCTATCACAATTTTCATTCGTTTCTGTGTAAACAAAAGCATAAAACAGGCACAAAACTATACGGATAGCATCGTTTTCATTGCTGTGTAAACATGGCCTCAGAATGTTAGCACCAAATTTAATTTTGTGGCTGTGTGCTAATTTGCAAAAACCACAAAAGTCTTGCTCCTTCAAAATTAAGAGTTGTCAGCCAGACTTTGGTTTCATTAATTAGAACAGTTGAGCACTAAATTGTTTTAGTTGGAATTTTATGCAAATACCGAAACATTAATAATACATAGTTTAGATGTAGCAAAAGTAACATAAGACCATGCATGCACAAGTGTACACATATGCCTAAAGCAAAGTTCGTAACTGCCACAAAAGCAACATACATGTAACTACAAATCAAACAAATTTGGCATTAAGTTTAAAGTATTATTAAGACTTTTATATTTACCCACAAGCTGCATACCACATGGTACCTGGTGTCATAGTCTAAAATCTTACGTAATAATTCCAGATAGCATTGCCCAGTTTTAATACAACAAAATGCATAAAACCAATGATTCCCACCATGTACAATACGAGCCAGAGCTTTAGCCTTGATCCAGTAGTCAACAGCTTTATCCCCCTACATATAAATTAATACATTTACTATGGTCATCAATATGACTTTTCCAGGAAAAGTCATTATGTAAATCAAAGTTACAGTTCAGTAAAAGTAACTTTTAGAACTGTTCTGACTATTTTTAATACAGTATAGCAGGTTTTTTCAAGGATAATAATTTTCACAAATGACCTATATCCAGAGGTTCACAAAATTAATTTTCCCAAATTTCCACTATTCTGCCATCTTCAACCATATTAAATTAATTTTTAAGGAAATTAATTTCACAAATTTAAAAAAATTCACAAAATTCACAAAATTTGTTATCCTCGAAAAAACACTAAAAGGTAGTAAAGCTTAATTGATTGTCATCACTTTAATAAGTGTCAGAAATAAAAATGCCTATAACATGCTATACTCAAAATTAAACATTATGAGAAATTTTTCCCTTTAAAATAATTCAACCTTAATCGGGGATAGCAAATTTTTAAAACATGCTATAATAAATGCATTCATCCTATTACTATGAAAAAAATATTAAATGTCAATACAAACTGTTAAAGTATGGCAAGTAGGGCACTAGCCGCTAGGTCTCGAGTCTAGCTATTCCTTAAAGCTATAAATGCAAACAACTTTACCATAACTAATTTCAGCGCCTTAATTATTATTTTTGTTATTGAAGTAAAAGTTTGATGCACACCATAATCTCTTAACTATAAAATCATGCCAAATTTAAAAGCCATTCTTCAAAATTCAAGTTTTCGAAAATCCGAATTATTGAAGATGGCAGGCAGCGGCATGGTGTATATCCATTAGATATAGGATTTATCATTTTGCGGACCTCAGTAAAACTCCAGTTTTTAAGCAGGCAATCAATATAAATATGACAAATGTGCATTACTGAGGCAGCAGGTACATGTACCTGGTAGCTCAGTGGGGAAGGCGTGTGGCTGGATTTACCTATGTGCACTGGTTCGAGTCCAGCAATGCCTTTTTTAATTTTTTTTACTACTTAGTACTTACTATACTTAGCTATGTCCCATACTTATCCTACTTGGCTATTGTTTTAGGGTTTAGGGATTAGGGTGGCAGTTTTTTTTAGAGCGACCCTACTCATTTTAGGAGTCCCCAAGGTTAGTTTAGAGTTTAGTTTTTTTTCTATTTTAGAGTGTTCCCTAGTCATTTTAGAAGTCCCCAGTTATGTTATGTAAGTGGTAGAAATAGCCACTGCCATAAAAACGGAGTTTTACGGAGATGCACGGAATGATAAATCCTGCGCCTAATGGCTTTAGGCATGGTGGGAGTCAGATTTAGGGTCTGCCTGACTCAGCCAGACTCATGTACTATATATTAAAACGTGGTGTTATTCAGACTAGACTATATACATAACCATAGATATCCATGCTAACTACTGAATTCTTATATATATATATATATATATATATATATATATGTACTAGACTAGACTGTGTCAGACTTACTTTTTTATTGCTTTGCTCCGAATGTGCCAAATCGACAGTGTCTTTAAGCTGGTCTACCGGCCTCACTTGTAAATCCATTTGGCTTGGACAAGGGCTTTGATGAGGGGCAGGTGTTAGTTTTATTCATGAATTGCAACCATTTTTGTGTTGTCTAGTTTCTTCTACAAGGGCGTGGCTCATTTCGAGTAAACAAGGATGGGAAGGAAGAAATCTACACTCAAGAGATTGGTAAGTAAATTGTATTCTGTGGCATACACTTTATCTTCATGTTTGTACAGTTTGGAAGTAGGGATAAGCCTCCTCCTACTAGTGAAGCAAAGGGTTCAGGTGTCGATCCTTTTCAAGGTGAGATCTGAGCCTGACCATGCATGAGCACAATCTGTTTATTTTCTCACATGCAGGCAGTACTTTGAATCCTAAACGTTTGCAAAGATGTGAAAGCTGGGATGTTCAGGTGCTAAAACAGCTTTTAAATATAAAATACTTTTTTGTAATAAAATTAATGTTCTAGTATTTGGGATATGTTCCAAGTTTAGAGGACTGGCATGCACCGAGCACAAGAACTGAATTTATGACTATGATTGACAATGCACAAGTAAGGGTATTTTTATGAATTTATTTTTATGCATAATAATAGTCTAATGGAAATTTATTGTGGGAGTCATCAGAAGTTAAATCTCTTCATGTTTCATCTCAGTGGTTAATAATTTCTGATAAAAGCAAAAAAGTAAAGACGATTTGTGCTACATGATTATAATAATGATCTAATTTCAGATTGCCTATGTTGAAGTTCCCATGGTTACAATTGGAAGTGTGTCATATGCTGAGGATGACAACCGACACTATTTGGGAATTAAAGCTGCTATAGTTAGTAAAGATGGAAGGAGCCAATACGTTTGCTACGTTATTGAATGTGACAATGAAGTAAGCATATCACATTACCTTTCATCATTCATGATTAAAAACTATTCAAATTAATTAATGCATCATGGATGTGAGCATGTAATCATACATTTTTGTACAATTTAATTTTATTTTTGCATCAAATGTAGGCCACTGCACGCAATATTTGCTTCTCTGTCAATGAGGTATTTGACCTTTTACTAGCACAAAAGCAAGCAATGGAGCGGCAAAATGAAGCACATGATCCAGCCATGAGGCCTGTTATGAAACATAGGCTTTCTACCTCACCATCTGTGGGATGGGGCTTCATATCTGCTGATGATTCGAGTAATATCACTGACGGATGGACAAGGGAAGTGCATAGGCGTGTTTCCTCTATTGATAATCCACAAGAAATGCTAGATAGACAGTTTTCAGGCATGCATCACAGTGTAGGGGATCCTATACAGTCTCCATCACAGCACATGTCACTTTCCTCAGAAAATAGCAGTTATGTACTTGTGAGCCCTACAAAACAAGTTAGCATTACAAAACCAGAGACGCATGATGGAAATGTTCAGAAGCAAGAATTGGAGAGCACCGATGGAGTAGTTGTGTCTGGTCGCATGGATCTGATTCTTAAAAAAGGAAAAAAGAGAGCAACAATAATTAATGATTCAGAGAGATTTCATGCTATTTCACTCCAACCTCAACAATTAAAGCCACAAACACCACGTCAATTGCTTGCACTAAGGGTAATATTCAATATTTGATGTTTTACTTTATTATACATGTATACATGTAGATTGAAGGGGATAGAGAAACAAGAATTGATGGTGGATCTCAAGGTTCTTATTTAATGCAAACTATCATTAGTGAAAAGGAGACAGTAATATTAGGAGATCATGGACATGCAGAGCTTGTTACTGGACCTAATTTCAATGGTTCCTTCAGGTAATATACTATTGTTATCATTGCTCCTTATGATCTTATAACTATAGTGAAGATTACAATGTTTCACTTCCACCTCAAACAAGAAATAACGTACCACCTCCTCCTGCTCCTGGTATTCCATCTCTAAGTCTTGCAAGCAGTAGTACTCCTCCACCACCACCACCACCACCTCCTCCTCCTTCTATGGCTCCTGGTAGCAATGCACCACCACCACCACCACCACCACCTCCTCCTCCTCCTCCTCCACCTTCTACAAGTGCACCTGCACCACCTCCTCCTCCGACTAGTGTACGACCACCACCACCACCACCACCTCCTCCTCCTCCTCCTCCTACAGTTCCACAAGCTCCTCCAAGCACTAGTGCAGCTCCATCACCACCACCTCTTTCTTCTCCGGGTCCTGTAGTTCCACCACCACCTCCTCCTCCTCCTCCTCCCGGTGGTAGTTTAGGCCCACCACCTCCACCTAGTGGTACAGCTCCTCCACCACCACCTCCACCTCTTTCAGGTAAATTCTAGAAAAAAATAATATACTTGTATGTCGTATATTTAATTCTTTAGGTAGCTTTTCTAGTCCTCCTCGACCGACAGTTTCAGTTGATGTGCAAGGTAAAGCAAAATTATATAATAAATTCCTTTTAAATCCTTGCTGTTACAGATCCTCCAGTTCAACAACGCTTACCGTGGAAAGGTCAGAATTAGTCATGCACTTGATTTACTTATTGATGTATTCTTTATAGTATTAATTGGACCAACAGATGATCCAAAAGATCCAGCTCATAAAACCTATCTCGCTCAAGTAAAAGAAGAAGTAGGAGATCTAGAGTACAAGAAGTTACGTAATGATTGGCTGGCATATCAAAAGTGCTCCATTGATGTCGTTATTTTTGCCAAACGAATAAAATTAGTCTTGAGAGGAAACAGGTACTGTATAGAACATTGTAATTTTAGTGTTATTAAACTTTTCTTATAGAGATTATCTCCGTAATGATGCAAAAGTGCTACTTGATGTAGAAGATCAGTCAATGTATTTGAGCATTCTTCAGGGTCACACCCCAGTAGTCCCACAAACACCAAAAGTGCCATCATCAACACAAGCACCACAAAAGCAAATTCAGTCACATCAAACGAAAACAAGAGAAGCTGAATCGTTTACACCACCTCCGGCTCGTGATAAAGAAAAAGGAAATGTTGTTCGTCCCAGTGACATTAAGAAATGGGGTCAGTTTGGTGATACACACATTGAAGATATTAATGAGCACAAATCCCGTCCTACACGAGGGAAACTTGGTGATCGGCTGACGATGTTTCAAAAAGGAGAACAATCTCCTAAAACTTCAAGAGACGAGACAAGAACAAGAGATCATCGCAGTAGAGATAGATGGAGTGATGATGATGACGACGACGATGATGACAGGCAAAAACCAAAGAAAAGTTCTCAAAAAGGAGATCGAAAAAAAGAAAGAAGCAAAAAGGATGAGTTGAAAAAGGAAAAGAAAAAGCTTGGAAAAGATAAAAGTGACCAAAAGAATAAGAAAAGTGAACAAAAGAAAGAGAAATCTGAGAAAGACAAAAGCAAGAAAGAGAAAGGAAAGAAAAAGAAGGATAACGAGAAAGAAAAGAAAGTGAAAAAAACAAAAAGTGAAAGTCAAGTAGAAGTACTGTCAGATATATTGGAATTCGGAAGCAAGGTTTTAAAGCCTCAAGATTCATTTAGTCAAACACTTGATGCACTTAATGAAGTACTAGACTATCATGAAAGTTCTATTATAAAGTCTAGCACCAGTAATGGTGCTCTTGAAGATATTATTAACCAGACCCGGCAACTTACAGTAACGGAGGTAGATGATCTCCCACATATTAAAGTACCTTTACAAGGAAAAGATGCTAAATCTCCACACGCAGCCTTGCCAACAGTTCCTACACAAGTTGGGCCTCAGGATATGACACAGCAATATGTGCCACAACAACATCCTTCACAAACAATACCAGCACCTTCTGTGTATCAAGTTCCTTCAGTTCCAGCACAGTTGCAACCACCTGTTACACTTGGACCATCTCTGATTCCTTCTCAAATGCCACTAATGCACTCTTCATATCATACTGTGCCACAAAGGCCAATAGCACAATTCCCTCCTCCAACACAGGTACAACCTATTTTTCAAGTGCAGCAACCAATACAAGCTCCTACAACACAATATCCTTTACTGCAAATTCCAGCACAACAGGTTCCTCCACCTCCAGCACCACAAGTTCCTCCTCCTCCAGCACCTGCTATTCTAGCAGCACAGGTTCTTGCACCCCAGGTTCCTCCGCCTCCAGTATCCCAAGTACCTCCAGCATCACAGGTACCTCTGCCTCTAGCATCACAGGTACCTCCAGCACCACAGGTTCCTCCACCTCCAGCACCACAGGTTCCTCCACCTCCAGCACCACAGGTTCATCCACCTCCAGCACCACAGGTCCCTCCACCTCCAGCACCCCAGGTACCTCCAGCTCCAACACCACAGGTACCTCCACCTCCAGCACCACAGGTACCTCCACCTCCAGCACCACAGGTACCTCCAACTCCAGCACCACAGGTACCTCCAACTCCAGCACCACAGGTACCTCCACCTCCAACACCCCAGGTACCTCCACCTTTAGTACCCCAGGTAACTCTGCCTCCAGCATTACAAGCTCCAGCACCCCAGGTTCCTCCACCTCCAGCATCACAGGTTCCTCCACCTCCAGCATCACAGGTACCTCCGCCTCCAGCACCACAGGTTCTTCCACCTCCAGCACCCCAGGTTCCTCCACCTCCAGCAACACACATTCCTCCACCTCCAGCAACACAAGGTCCAGTTCCTCCAACCCAGACTCCTACTACTCCTCCAACACAACCTCCACCACCACCACCTCCTCCTCCTCCTCCTCCAGGAGAAATGCCTCCTCCCTCACTACAGCAAACTTCACCACCGCCATCCCCTCCACCACCACCACCTCCCCCTCCTCTTCCAGGTGAGATACCTCCTCCTTCACTACAGCAAACTTCACCATCGCCATCACCTCCACCACCACCACCACCTCCTCCTCCTCCAGGTGAGATACCTCCTCCTCCAGGTGAGATACCTCCTCCTTCACTACAGCAAACTTCACCATCGCCATCACCTCCACTACCTCCTCCTCCAGGAGAAATACCTCCTCCTTCACTGCAGCAAACTTCACCACCACCACCACCACCACCACCACCACCACCACCACCTCCTCCTCCTCCTCTTTTGCATGATTCCAAACTACCTCCAGCAACAGATAGTTCTCCACAACCATCTCCAACACAAGATCCATCATTATCTGTTAATAGCACTCAATCAAACAAATCTCCTCCATCAAGTAAAACAGCATCATCAGTCCATGTGAAACGAAACAACTTGTTGGATGAGATAAAACAAGGGAGAGACTTAAAGAAAATAGGTGCACCCAGTGAAAACTCAAAAGGTGGAATAATAGCACAAGAAGACTCTGGAGAGTTTCGACGCATTTCAATAGGTGAAAGAAGCATGAGGAGAATGAATACACTAGAAACATTGACTGAAGCAGTGTATGAAAGAGGAAAGCAAATGAGAAGAGAGAGTCGTGATGAAGATATGATGCGGAAAGTTAGTACCTCAACATGGATCAATGATGATGATGACTCCAGTTCTTCAGATAAGGAAATACCAAAACGATTAGAACCAACTCACTCTGTTAAGACAGAGACTGAGAGTGACAGCAGTAAGATTCCACCCTGGAAGAAATCCTTACTTGAGCAAAGACAATTGGAAGAAGAGAGGAAGAAGCTGAGAGAAAAGGAAGAGAAGGAAGCAAAGGAGAAGGAGAAAGAACAAAAATCGAAAGTAATTGGTGATGATGGTTTACCAGTGCCAAGTTGGAAGGCAGCAATGCAAAACAAAAAGAAACAAAAGGAAGAAGAAGAAAGAAAGGCTGAACAACAAAAAAATTCTGCTTATGAAGCTAAGTTTGAAGGAATGCCATTATGGAAGAGGAAGTTAGTAGAGAAGAGGGCTAATGAAAAAGCAGTAGAAGATGCCAAAGCTGCTGAAAAGGAGAAGGAACTGCAAGATAGACTAAAAGTAATAGCTGCAATGCCACAATGGAAGAGAGAATTATTTTTAGAAAAAAATCCTCAGTACAGAGAAATGTTGTAAATAGATCTTGTTGTTTTTGCTACCTTGTTATTATAGTTTTGTAATGAAAACATTTTAAATTAATTAAACAGCATAGAAATAATTCGTATTTATTTCTCTAAGAAGTTTAGGCTGTTTAGGAACTCAAACATGACTGATTATAGGATGGACACTCCAGCACACACGCAAATATAAACACTCATTGATTTAAATTGTAATCTAGTCTAGCAATAAATGTTGTAATCAATCAATAATAATGTTTGCAACCATAATAGATATATACATGTACATACACTAAATAATAGTAAAACCAGCTAATAGTTCACTTGTTTATTAAAATGATTTTTAAGTTCCTTAAAATGTAGTGGTAAGTTATCAGTGTACCGAATGCTAAAGAAAGAATACAACAGCTCCAACCAATCACTGCAAATAATCAGCTCAACTAAAAATTTAATTAAAATTATTCAAATACCACTCTGCTTACATGAGATATTAGAAGAATCTGAAGAAACATGATAACAGAGTGCTTGAAAACATTTTACAGCTTCAACACCAAGTTCTTCTCTCTCCTATACAAAAAAAATTAATTATCAAATTATCAATAATTAATTGTAGCATACATCAGCCATCAGATTTATAAGTGTAAATGCCAAAACTTGAAATGTTCGCACTTGACTACCAGCTATGTAGTCTTTTAAACAAACAGTATTTTGCTCATTATTAGAGAAAATTGTTGTCCACAGAGTCAAAACACACTTCATAATACTTGTTTCATCATCACAAAGATGTTCCAATAGCACTGTACAAGATAGCTTAAAAGGGATTATATCCTTATTAACCATAATTCTTTGATCCTAATATGCCATGCAATACTTCATCGATTAATAATAGAAATAACATACATGTACCTCAGAAAGATTCTTTATTAATTTATTCAAGAGAAGCATAGATGCTACAAGAGACTCTGACTTAAACTGATAGCTTTTGATGTAAATTTATCAATCAATCATGACTTACTTGAGTGCTTTTATGAATAATACCCATAACAATATTCATTAAAAAGCCATTGCTTAAAACAATTGATGTAGCTGATTTAGAAATAAGCAAGTGTAACAATACAATAAAACTTTCATTTACCTTGGAATTTATCATCTCCGGAAATCATGTTAACAATAATTTGAAGGATCATTACAATTGTTGACGGTAAATCTCCTAGAGAATAACTATACCAGAGCTTATGCCAAGGTATATGTAATAGCATTTGACTTACTTTTTCAACACATTAAGGACTAAAAATGATGTCATTTCAAAATTCACATAAACATGGCATACTTTGGCAAAATAACTTGATAGTAACTTTGATTGAAGTGTCTTGGATTGCTTTCAAAATAGCAATTAAACGCATTTCTAACAAAAAATGTATTGGTAATCAAAATAATTCCACAGAATTAATTTATCTAGTGCGGAGCATACTTACCATTTAGTGGCATCTGTGTCAAAAAGAAAACTTCCAACTTTCTAATTGCACATGATTCCTTCAGTTGCTCTTCCTACAAAGCCAAGAAGATGACACAAGTAATTAGAGAATACTGCATATACCTGCAATTGGCTAATATTTAGTAACTTCAGTAACAGTTTAGTCACTCCTTCTAAGCACTCTACCCTACCATTAGCAACAATAGCCTATTGTACTCAAATAAGACAAACTAACAACAACAATATACCAAGCAATGATCAATCAATATAGAGCTATGACCAACAATGGATTTAAAAAACTGTTCAAAATCAAATGAAATCGCCAGCCACTCTTGTAACTATAAAGCAGTACAAAAACATTTAAAACGTGTCTATTTTAGTCTTACCCAATCTCTTGCTATAAATTGCTGTAAAGGTGCTTGGTAGTAAGCCCAAGTCAGTAATGAGGTGTGTTTAACAAATAAAGTTTTAGGTGAAGACACAAGTAACAATCCTTTAACAATAATATCATCACTCACTATGCCATAATACTAAGTAAAAACTATGCATGTAATTAAGTCATACCAGTAGGATTGCTGTTACTTGATCTAGTGAGCTACAATACATAAAAATGAACAATAATGATGACAACTAACTGCATATAATGCTAACAGCATCTTAAATGTTGTTACAGGTAAAAGATGAACATTCATGTTATTACTAAGATATTGTGACAATGCAGAACACAGGGATATTCTTGAAACAGGTCTGAAAATAATTTTTAATTCAAAATCAATATCAAAATAGCTTACAACTGTCCATAAACTTCAAAGACATAGAATAAACACAGTATGGACGCTTGCATGACTGCTAACTCAATGGGATAAACATTCCTTCTTTGCACAAGACAGTTTAATAAATTGTTTACTGTACCTAATATACATGTATATGTAATGTAAAATAGTAAAAGAAATGTAAAAAATGAAAGATCATCTAAAGATAACAGACATTACATTTAATATGAGGAAGAGCTGTGTGTAGTGTTTCTTTTAGTATTTTGGCCTCAGAGTCATCAAAATTATCATTCAACTGAATTATAATAAATACTAGCTCTTCAATAAACAGAGCAGATTGCTCCATTAAAGGAGATGCACTATGATCCAATGTAGAATAAAAACATTAAAATTATGACATTTACTCAGGTACTGTTAATCCTCTAGATTCCATTGCTAATTCAATAAGACCACTCTGAGCTATATGTACATGTAGTATACGGAAAGATTTATCTACAGTGATAAAACTTACCCAATAATAAAACAAACTCAGGATTAGATCCATAATGAATGACAATGACTAATACTGTGAATAAATTCTGCAGTGGAGTAATATTGTGCTCAACATCTGTACAAGTAGCCTGTAAATTTACATAGAGCACAATAATTGTTAACAATCAATATCATACTAAAGTCAATGGTATTAATGTCTCCTGGCAGGCTAAACAAAGAAACACATATACTTCCTCTACATTGGCATCACTCATCCGATTTTGAAATAATCTAATAATTTCATGTAGCAATGAAAAACAGATAAAACAACAATACATGTAGTATGCTTACTGAGCAAAAGAATCAAAAGTCATTAGTACAGCTACTAATAACTCCTTAGGAGCTACTTCTTCACCAGCTTTAGTACCTGATTTTGTTACTGAGCCATTATATGACATGTCAACAAACTGTAACAACAGAGCCAAATGAGGAATAACAATATCAATTGACACAGTATGGTATTGCCTGAAGTACAATATAAATTGTAGGCCAATAATAAAGGTAAATTAAGTCTTACCAATTCTTTAAGAAACTACTAAACAAATTAACTGACGAGAAATGATTCAAAACCATGGCTGAGTGAAGTACTGACAAAAAATCTGCAATGTCTTTCTCATTAGATAGAAGAGGAACAGTAGCAGGTTGTCTACTCAAGAAATTTAAAATAAATACCATAATAGCTGCATGGTACTTTTGGATGAGAGAAAAATTGGCACATTAGGCATTAGTTTAGCCAATTGCCAAAATAAAAATTCACCATTTCGAACCATTATATAAAATGCAGGCTCAATAGCTCATAGCCACAAGTTTGCCAATTTAAAACTCATTATTATTACAAATTTTTGAAATTCACCCACCAGCTATAGAGTACTATATATGACTACATGTACATAAAAACATACCGTTTGAATATAATAGACAGCAATGTTAAGCTAGAAAAAGGAGTGAGAGCAAAGGAAGTGAATAATAGTGTGTGAAAAAAATGTACCAAGACTTAGCATTCTCTTCATTCCTTGTTTCAAGTGATTTCTTAAGGACCTTAATGATAGGCTGATATCCTAAAATTATTAAATTAACATAATTAAAAAGTAACGAAATATGCTGTACAATGCAAATAATTCAAGTACCACAAGGCACCTTTTTGAGGGATATAAATTTTGCAGATTTTCCAAATTTTCCCTGAAAACGCAAATATTATGGCCTTAAATAACAGTAATTAATTTAAAAGGAGTGTGGTAGCACGGGGATTTTTATCATAAGGTGGCCTTTTGGACTGTTTTGAATGTTTCCAGCTATTTTCATATGGTAGACTTGATGTTCTTTGGCTTTTTTTCAAACTCTGCTGGTCCTTTGTCAAATCATGTACCTCAGGGAGCAATTGTGTCAGATAAAAAAGGTGTTAGGGAGTCACAATTTGAGAAATTTACTTTTGCTAAAAAAAAGGAACTCGAAATCTATAGCTCTCAAAAAAGAGCGCCCTGCGGTAAAAGTACTACAAATTAATTACCATAAATCACATGACATCCAGTGTAAAACTTATCCTCAAGACATATGAGGTTCAAACAGGAAAGAATAGAGCTAAAGAGAACAGAGACAAACAATGTGTGTAATATGTGATGACTGTAATTGTCTTACTTAATTAAAGGTATATTATCGCTGGAGAGAGCCTCGAATAGATACTCTACCAAAACACAATTGTAATTTTGTTAGTACATACAGTATAATACATGACAAATACACACATGTACCTGCAATATCAACTGATAACAGAGAAGGAACATATTGTGGGTAATGAGAAATGACTGATGTTATACACTGTACACCTAATAACTGTACAACTTCATCTCCACTAAGTAGTACCTAAGGAAAGAGTGAATTATTATTATTAATCCTTTCCCTTTTAATGCTGCCTTTGATATCAATTCTATTATGTTGAGCACGTCAAATTTTTGGGTCATATAACAAACTCACTCTTTTCAATGCAGAGGCAAAAGTTGAGCCTATATATAAAACAACACAGCAATACACATACATGTACCATATTTAGTATACTAACCTTTACTCGCTAAAGATGGTTGATCTGATTTTAAAAGACAAATTAAATAAGAATAATTAGAAGTTAACATTTTTGCCAAACCTAGAAAATGTTTAAACTAATAATATCAAATCTCCTACTCAAAACTATACCCATTAAATTAAGAGTAAGATCATGAGATTGAGCACTTGCTAGAGACACTGACAGATGAGTGCATATCTTCTCCATAACATTCATCTGAATAAGTTGACTTTTACATGAACAAACCTGAACCAAAATATAAACTAATGAAGATTTAACAGCTTCATCTTGGCACATAAATCCATCAACAAGATACTCTATTAATTTATCTAGTGCAAAGAAGTCATTCTAAGAGCAGTGTTGTCAATTATACCTCTTTCTGCACTGATACCCATCAAAAGAGAGGAGTCCTTATGTAGAATACTTCCTATGAGTGTAAGGTGCCCTATTATGCTGGAACTGTATGTACAAGATGTCAAAGCCTGTATGTGTAATTACTGTAATAAAACAATAAGCATTAAAATTAATTAAAATTGTTTGTCAAAATAATGAGCCCATCTCACTATGAAGAAATGATTCATTGATCGAATTACAGTACATGTACATGTATGAGCATGCAAAGGATCATAACAATGCACTATAGTTTAAATACACATTTGAGAATACAACAAAGAATTAAGATTATAATAAAGGACATAACCCAGAAATAATGATATAATACCTGTTGAATAGACTTCAGTAGTATCATCTGAAAGACCTCTCTCCTTGGATGCAATCGCATAATATTTGTCAAAACTATAATAAGAAATTAAAATTAATTATAAGGCAATATGCTGTACTCTGAAGGGATTCTTGAACTACAGTTTTTTGATCATCAGATAATAATCCTAAAACAATAAAAGACATAATGAGGCACCAGAAATAGATCTAAGCATAATTGTGTGTACTATGTAGGTAGTCTATACACACAGATTGACAGGGATAAAACCTGGATCAGATTTACATGGGCTGTAAATAAGCTAAATCATAATAACATGGAGAATGCTTTTCATACCAATCACAACATTGCATATATGACCAGTAATTCTCAAATCAGATGCCATCATCTTCATTAACGGTGTCTGTTGCTCTTGATAAGTTGTTGATAGTGATAGTTCCTTCAGTATTTTGTCTATTCTGACCGTAAGTTCTTGTTTTCTATTTTCCAGTCTATCAATAACACAAGCTAAACAAACCATTGGTACGCTGACACCAGTCACTGTCCATACAGCGCTATGATGCGAGTGTCCTTCTGTGAAAAGGGAAACACTTCTACTCTCCTCCATTGTATGATGAAGAACAGGTGGTCTCACGTGAAAGTCGTATATCATCGTATACCAAAGCCTAGGGCTTTACGCATGCGCAATGACAGAGAGCGGCTTAGCGCGGGCTTTTAATCTTGGAATGGATATACTAGAAATTATTAGTGGGGTAAGGTCCAACCTTTAAAAGCTCATAATTTTTATCTTTATATGGAATTAATAGGCACTTAGACTTGCTTATGGTTAGAGCTGATTAACACCTATTTTTGTGGATGACCTAAGTGAGATTACAAATGACATTGTGTGGGTGGAAGGGAACAGACCAAACAGAAAGGAAGGGTCTGGTCCATGGTTGGTACATCAGGGTGTAGTTGCTCAATAAGAGGTTGGCATACATGTAATTTATCAGGAGTTTATGCTCCTTTATTCATGCATATGACTATGGAATGCAGGGGCGTATGTAGGAATTGGAGAAGGGGGGTGCTGAAGGCGCGCGAAGCGCGTCGCGATTTTGGCCACACCCACTTTTACGGCGGTAAAACGGCCTTTTCCTACATATTTTCGTCAATTACGGGGTGGGGCCAAGATCATTTCAAGCATACTGCTATGTTACTGGTACTTCTGATTGCTCCTTAAAGCACTGGAAACTGCTGAAATCATGATAAGGGGGCTAGATAACTTTGTTAAGAGGCTTGGTAGTGATGCAAGAGTCCAGGACTTCAGTAATTTTTTCTGAGCCCAGCCCTAAGGGGGTAGTGAGGGGGGTGCTCAAGCCCCCTCAGCCCCCCCCTAAATACGCCTCTGGAATGTACTCCTTATTAAGTGTAGGCCAGGGCTTACTCTGAAAATGGTAGAACCCAGCAATTAATAAAGCATTTTCAACTGATGCACACAGAAAGTAGTTTAACTTAAAACAATGCAATTAACTATTTTATCATTATGCACTGCACATAATTACCATATTTCATGTGTTATTTTGTGGATTAATTGATCTATGCAGTTTACTATCTTGAATATTACTTGTGTACTTCTTGTCTTTAGAGGCATTGAATACACTCCAACTCAAGCCCCTTTAAGATACTTATAATTAAGACATATAAAAGAGTGAAAAGTGAAAACATATGGCATGTACATCTGCTGTATACGTTGAAATTATTTGAGTGTTTAAAATTTTTTGTTTTTGAATTAAAGTGCCCAAAAATTAAAGTGCAAGAACTACTTTTAGTGTTCTGAACATAGAATATATACAATAGAATGGTAATAAGGTAGTTCATATTTTCTGGATTTAAGGTGAGCATGAAAATAATGAAAATCAATTTTTGTACGTCCCAAAACCATGCAAAACACCATTATGATCATGTAAAGAGCTCTAAATTTACAAGAATATTTTACTGCTACTTCTTGACAAGCTCCTAAGCCTACTGTTACCTGCTCAAATAAATTGAGTAAAGAAAATTGAGTGAGAACATAAAACTAATAGAGAGGATTATACATGGTAGTTTGTTATCTGACTGTCTCAATTTATTTGATTATAATGTTTACATTTGTAATGCATGCATATTCTAGTCCATAATAGTGCATATGCAATGTAAATGTACACATACATATACATGTACAATGATTTAATATTCAATCCATTTTGTCATAATGAAAAGAGTTTTTAGTGATTGTTGGATTACAGCCATACCCACTATACAGTAAATCACATTTAGAATCAATTGTGTACTGTGTACATGCAATGTTTGTTTTGCATATTTGGCTGGTGCCCATTTGCTCAAACTTTTGTTTGGATTCAGCACAATATGTGTCAGAAACATGTAAACATGTTAATAATCATCAGCGATCCTTTGGGCTGATTTTAGCTAATTTTATTTACTACCATCCATGTAATTGGTGTATTTCTACATATGCTCATGATTTATGATTGCTATAATTATATTCAAAATGGATTTACAACCTGGAGAGAATGTAATTATTAATAGAGTGATCGAAACAGACGACTATCAAAAAGTCAAATCAATTAGAATGGTAACTGTGATGGCAATTACATGTACATGTAGATAAGAGTCTGATACTAAAGACTGTACTAGCTGACAAATAACGGGGTACCCACTTTGTATTTTGTTCACAGTAGTCCTAGAAACTGGCACTGGCTACTTTTATAATACATGTATAAATGATATTCCCAAGAGTACAAGAGTACATAATATAATGTACTTTTGATATTACTGAGAGCTACATTGAGTATTCCGTTTTATATATAAAGCGATTATCATTAATTAGACTAAATGTATAAAAACGATACTGTTAATGCTTTGTTTACTGAAAATTCTACAATCTAAGGAGACTTTTCAAATGACTTTAGCTCTAAGCTTGTATTTGTATTTGTAACCTTCATTTTTCCTAAAATGAAAAAGTTTTTAAAGATAAAATTGAATAAAAATAATGCCAACCTTTTTTCTTTTTCTTTATCATTAATATAGCAGCAACAATAGCTAAAACTGTTGCAACAGATATGACAACAAAACTTACAATGACTGGAACAACAATAATAACAATATTTGTGGAGGATGATGAGACTTCCACTGTCATGCTAGGTGTAACCATTGTTGACATATATGTGGACATTGCTTGAGACATTGTTAGTGTAGCAGAGCAGATATTTTGAATCTCATAGCTTTGTACAGTTGATGTACCATAGATATTTGCTGCAGTTATGTAGATGGTTGTTTTGTTGAAAATTGTACCAATGGTAATTGTGACATTTTGATTATTCATGTATCCCATGAAATCAAATGTCTTATTGATTGATCCATCACTTGTGAAGGCATTGAAATGGAAATGGTTAGATCCTGAAGCAATTCCAGCCCATTTACTGGCAACTGTAAATGTTAATTCAGATCCAATGCATTTATGATCACCATATGGTACGGAAGGTATACCTTAAATGTGCACAGTAAAGTTCTAACTAAAGTATATATTTTTACCTGTCAGTGTTGTGACATCAGATAAATTAAACACCTCTAAATGCCCATCAATAGATGCCACCATACCACAAGTATACACTTCTCCTGCCTCAACTGGTCCTAGCTTTATGCTACCAGTGTAACTGTTATCAATGCAATGATCATTGCCTCCATTACATGATTCTTTTAATTCTCCTGGTGCAAGTCCACTTCCTGTTCCACTCTCAATCTCAGCTTCTTGTAATGCTGGTCTACACTGCACACTGACATCAACATCTTCTTTATCAACACCACCAATGTGTCTAAATGTCCAATTAGCTAATATCCTGCCATCAGCAGATATTATAGTTGCATTCCTGATGTCAGGAGCTGTTATGAAAATATGAAAATTATTGCTTACTAAAATTTAAAATACTTACGCCCTGGAAGAGTCATAAAAGTTAATATGTCACTAAAATCTCCAGTGGTTGGAAAAATACTTGACTCTCCTCTTATAGCTAGATTGTATTGTGTATTGGGCACTAAAGCAGTAAGCTCAAAATTTGTGTCATTGCTTGGTATTACTAGAATTACATCTCCTAAAGTAGATGTTAATTGTAAAGTATAATGAGTAATAGGAGGGTTTCCTATTTCTGTTGGTGCTATCCAATCTAGAGACACAGTGCCACCATTAATGCTGCTTGATAAGTTAGTGGGAGGGCCAGGAGGAACTAAAAATAATATTGACGTAATTACATCTACATGATATTCAATTAGTCATTCTTACCAGCTACAACAAGATCAATATCTGCACTAATATTTCCAATAAAATTTGACGCACCAAATGTCCATACTCCAATGTCAGATGTACTTACATTATTAATTGTTATTTGAATTGTGTCAGAGAATAACGGAGAATATTGGGTTGTTGTATTATTGATACTGTTATTACTAGGAGATATCCAGGTTTGAAATGGTATTGGATTAGCCATGAACATTGTGAAACGCTTTGAGAACAACTTCATCTCCAAGGTTAGTATAGACAATTTCATCGCTGATTATTCCTTCTGGTGCATCTAAAACAATTATATAGCAAATTAATTCTAATTCAGAATTAAATTATGCTTACATTGGACATTTAGTGTTAAGTTGCCAGAAATGGTTCCAGCGTCGTTAGTAAGAGTTAGAGTGTATACTCCAGATTGGTTTTTTATGGTTGATGCAAATTCGATGCTATATGTATTAGTAGATATTGTAACACTTGTGATTGGATCATCACCATAAGACCATGTGCCTTGAGGAGGTGGGAATGGATTATTTTTTGATCCAGCAAGACTTGTATTGAATGAAGAGCCTTCAGTGACATTTGCAAATACATTACTCAACTCTGGCAGAGCTAAATTCAAAATGTTAATTATCATTTTAATTGTTATTATTTACCTAATATGCCAATAAAGAATGTGACTCCTTTATCATTTTGATTGCATGATAGCTTTGTGTGGCTGGTTGCTTGAGTGAGGTTAAAAGTTAAGTTCGAGTGAAGAGGCATAGTGGCAGGGGCACTCTCAATAAAATTGTGAGTAAGAGAGCTTCCATTGGAACTAAACGCAATGTCTTGAAAGGTCCCATTTTGATGTATCTCATCCCAAGTTGTAAAAGAAACAAGTTCATTGCCAATTGAAATAGCACAGTATAAATGAACTAAGCTATCATTATCTGCTGTAATGATCACATCTTCATTCTCAATGTGTGGGGGAACAGTTTTGAAAGACACACCTTGAGCATCTATAGACAAAGACAGCAGCAGCAAAAGCACAGCTAGAAACATCCTTTAAAAAGGGGCGGATTTGATCTCACAGTCGATATTCATGCTGTGAGTATTGTACATACTGACTCAGTCAGTATGTACAATACTCAAAGCATGAATATTGTTAACATAAAATAAATCTAGTAGTCTTTTTTAGTATTGGTGATTAAAGTCATTGGCGGCGGAACATATTTTATTTTTGGGGGACTGAACATCACTTAAGTTATTAAAATGGATGAGGTTTTATCAAAAAAATGGCTGCTAGTTTCTGTTGTTGGAATTAGACTGACTGGTTTTGTGTCTTTTCTTCTAAATGAGATGAAGAATGACTGCACATCTATTTTTACTGATAAAAGTCAGTTAAGGTTGCAGAGAATTACTGGGGGGGGGGGGGCTCAGCCCCCTGTTTCAAGACTGGGGGGCTTAGCCCCCTCAGCCCCCCCCCTGTTCCGCCGGCTATGATTAGAGTTACATCTATACAGACTTTTTGTCTGGATAAAATTATTTCTACAGCAAATAATTTGTCTGAAAATGTGACTACTTTATTTTAGTAGTTGCTGATCTGTTGTGGTCTCATACTAACATCATTATGCACTCACACACAGAGAGTGATGTTTATATAGTTACCATTAATTCAATTCATTGTATCAAATTTGTCTGATTTTCTGAGTATCTGGTTTTGTTCCCGTATTTGAGGCTACTTTTGTCCATTTTGGTACTGTCTTACTAATTACTTACTACTTCATGAAAGGCATTTCAATCTCTAAACATACAGATCTAGCTCGTCTACAAAATGCAAATTTTAATTTTGCTTTTATAATCTTGTCTATCAAGATACTATATTGTATAAAGCATTATACATTCCTCAACAGCTCCAAAAAGTTATTTAAACTAAAGATTGAAACAGATCAATGACAAGAAATTGTCATAGTGCGTGTAATTCCTGTTTTCCACCTTGAACCTCATCACGCAACATTGCTATTTGCTGAGTAAATAAATTAAAATTAAATTTAATGCTTGTTTTTTACATTTTTGTCTATTATAATCATAATTTACTAATGTCATAAAAAATATTCATACTAAAAATCTACTGTGCTATCTATCTGTTGTACATAATTTATACGTGTATGGTTTATAAAATGAAGTCAATTTTCACTGCCCTTGTTTTCTCTGCTTCTTGTGTTTTCATTTTCTCTTCATCTGTTAGCTCTCTCTGTTATCTCTAAGAAAAAGAGACAATAGTATACCTTATGTAAGCATGTACATGAATGTTGAGTGGGCATGTATTATGTATACAATGTATACATATGTGCAGAAGAATGAGTAGCACTCATCATTAAATTCTTGTACATGTACCATATTTTACCGTATAATAGACTGGTCCAAATAAACGCCTGTCACAAATATATTCTAGTTATAGATACGCATATTTCTACCAAAAATAATGCCCCATAGCTTAGATAGCTCCAAAGTGCATATTAGTTAGAGCCTGGTCTGGCTTGCTAAGAGTTGGGAGTTGTATGTGTCTTTTTATTTTTTAATGAAATTTTTTCTTGCTGTTAAGGAATAAATGCTCAGGCATTTAATCGGTAAAATACAGTACTTGTGTATCAGAATTGCATCAGTTATAATATCAACTCATTAACATACATGTACAAATTTATATTAACATACATGCACATGTAATTAATGCAATAGATACACGGCATGCATTACTTGTAGTATATAGTGTGTCCATCATCATACAGTAAGAATGGTATTTGCCCGGATATTGTGATATCTGAATACCATTTCAACTTTTTCTCAATGTCAGTGTGAGCTATTTGTGATGGAAAAGACCCTGTATCCTGAGTAAGGGATAAATTTAAATCTTTTAATTTAAATGGATGGCTAACCTTTGCAACAGAAATATACTCAACAGGAATCCCACTTAATTCTGAAAGCTATAAAAACCAGAAAAAGAATGTAAAGTATAAGAGCATTTGCAAATATTGTTACAAGCTCATAATGATAAATAATTTTTAATGCCTAACATCAAGAGTACTAAATATAGTACATAAAGGCGGGTTTACCATATGACGATAGACCAGTGTACTATAAATTGTTAATCAAAAGTATGGGCAATTTGACCTTTTGACGCATGCTTCCGCTAGAATGGAACCCAATCCTATTCCAGGATCAACATAACATCAAGCCCATTGTGATATTGTAAACCCACCTCTATACAAAATATACATGTACATAAGTACATGATACATAATACATAACTAGAATACATGTCGACAATGCATAATACCTTTATGCATTATGTACTTTTGTTAACATTATTTAAAATATAGCAGCAAATTATACATCATCAAATATTATGTCATCATAATAGGTACATATGATAATACCTTTTCCTTAAGACTCAAATGCTGCTTATTATCCAAAATGATTTCATCTGTTTGATCAACTGAGCATTGTGATGGATGCCATCTTATAACATAAACCTGCCTCTGAGCTTCATGCTTCTTTAAATCTGGCTCTAACAATAGATACAATAGCTTTATAGAAGTTGTGGTAATTATATTTGTAGCTAGTGTGAATTGTGAATGACTAGGCAATTTTCATTTAACTATGACAGTATACTAAATGCTTTTCAGGAAAGATTTATGAGAAATTTTACACCCAAAAAGTATAATACCTACCCAGAATTTAATGAACATTTTCTACTAACCTTTTAATAGTTCGACATACATTTCACTGCCGTTAGACACATGGACATCTTTATATATTAACTGATGATCAAGATATATTTGACCAAGTGATCTGGATGTCTTTTTACGCAATCTCATTCTGCAAAGTGAGTATTTTAATAATCATATCACAGACACAAGATGTCTTACTTGTCTAATTCTAAGACACAATCAATTCCTTGTATTTCTGCCTCTTCAATAATTTGTTTCTTAAATTCTCGAACTGGTGTATTTTTGGACACAATTGACTCCATCATAAACTTACAAAACTAATTTTAAATTATAAAATAGCACTTTATTTCACATACTGTAACATTTTGTGAAGTTTTAAATCAATAATGCAAACATTAATCTATTAAACATTATTAATAACAAAAATAATGACATGTGTTGAAGCTTCATTGTTGTAATAGCATAATTATAGTAAAACTGTAAAAGTTATGCTTCTTACCTCTTCATTATTAACAAGTAATAGAAAGAGCTTAATCCTGTAATCCTGTAACCCTTTACCCAACTTTACTACAATCTATAGGAACATAAAGAGAGTGAGAGATTACTTAAATTATAAAAGATAGAAAAATACTTTTGAATCACAAGACAATTTGGCTAATGTGTCGGATAGACACAGAATTTCTTGTTCTGGCTGATTATCTTTAGTTTGAAACAATCTAAAACCTTTAGCTGGTACACCAACCATTGGAACAAGCTTTTCCTTTAATTGAGCAAATGATATTCTATTATCAGCTTTTATCTGTATCTCTAATTGATTAATAACAAGACAATGTTAGCTAAAATGACTTAGTAAATAATAATTGTTACTTCTTTCTCTGCCTTCATTTACTGAAACAATCTTCATCATCATTTCTCCACTGCCACCTGTGTTTGGTATGGCAATATCCCTTCTTCTTACTTCCTCTTTTCCTCCTCTTCTTTCAGGTTGAGAAGGCATTGAAATGTGTAGCATTACTGATTGTAAATGAAATGTAACATATCTGTGCATTAGACTTTTATTGTACTCTCTTTGATAATCTTCAAAGTCTGACAATGCATATAACTGAATGGAAGCAAAAGAGAGAAAAGGAAAGGATAAAATAGATAGGAATTACAATCATAGAGTGGACTGTCATTCACATGCCTGTACATTATGTCCCAAGCATATAAAATATTTCAAGGTATACGTGTAATTGAATTCTGATTACAATTTATTACAAACTTGGTGCATAGCCCTAAATATTGCTTTAACCACAAGCGATGTACATTTATTCACCAAATTCAAATTTATATTTTGTTACAAAAATGACTTTAGAAATTTAAAATATTTATCATTCTAATTCATTTAGTCGCTTTTGAAAATATATGGTGGGTCTGCTGTATGCACCACGTTGTAATAACATATACATGTAGCATAATAACAACATACTTAACAATTATAATACCAATTCACATACCATATAGCACTATATTTTGGCAGCACTTTATTTTGGTGATTTTGCTGTAAAATTGTAATAGGTGATTTTTAATTTGGCAATTTTGTGTACATGTGCATTACTGAGCATGTGCATTCATGATTGGCGGTTTTAATATTAACAATTCTACTTATAAAACTCCGCCAAATTAAAGCGCTAACGGTATCAGGAAATTATCACTTATTACTCAATCATCATTAACATTTACAGGAATTTCAGGAAATCACAAAGTCAATTTCCAAATACAGATTATAAAATTATTGCTAAGATATTTTACACCAATAATAAACCCCAGTATACAGCAATTTACACATACAAATGCAACCCCATGTATTTGACTCAATTCCTGAGTGCAACATACACAAAAATACATGTAATCAACTATCATCTAATAAACACATACTTTGTGTCTTCTTGACATCACTTCTCTTAAGTATGCTGCATCATTTGCCAAATGCATACCATAATAATTACCAGCAAGGAAGGAAAGATAAAACTCATTAAGTAATTCATCATCTGCATCGTAATAAGTCTCCAGTACTAGCCTCATGCATGAAGGATCAATATCAAATAGCTAAAAAAATAAAAACTTAAAGTAACAAAATTACAACTTTAGTCTTACTTTTCCTATACATTGTTTTAATTCTCCAACAGTCCAACCATGCTCTGCTCTCATTGGTTTAGCTGCAGATACTTCACCATTAGAGGGCTCAATTACTGATACCTTCAAATTAATACCTACACACAACACAACATAAAGGATATACCAGAAAAATGGCAACACTAACCTCCAATATTGTATACCTTGAAGTTTTCATTTTCTTTTCGAGTTTGCAAAAATATTCCAGAACAATAACAATTATCTACAGACATACCCATCAGTTTATCAATAGTTTGATCCTGAAACTAAATTAAGCTTAATTTACTTAAAATTATTAAGAACAAATTATATTTACCTTTTCAAGATCAAATGACTCATCCATTGCTTCATAGTAATAATAATATCTGACTAAACGGCATCTCTCAATAGGAATGTGTGGAGCCAATTTCATAGACTATAAAAAAAGAGGGAACGATGGCATGCAACATTTCCCACAAAGAATGCTAAATGAGCTAAAAAGAATGCTGGCAAAACGGTGCTTGACATTTGGAAGAATTTTAAAATTCATTAAAAAAATCAATTTTGATCAGAATCACCTCAAACACAAAATCATAATGCAACAGATGACAGAATTCTCTCCTAAACAATTTTTTGGCAAAAATTGGCCAAAGACCCTGTACTATAGTACAAGGACTTTGGTTTGATTTTTGAGTAACATTAAAAATTTGTAAAGAATCCAGATTTGGAGGAAATCAGCTCAAAATTGCTACATAACATAAAACATGAAAATGTATTTTTAAAATTATAAAAATGAAGAATTCTCTCCTAGTGCTTTTTGCCAAAAATTGGCCAAAGACCCTGTGCTATACTTAGTAACGCTATACCACATTACTAATAGTACAGGGACTTTGGTTTTATTTTTTTTAATTCAAAAAAAAATTAATTTTGGTCAGACTCTGCTCAAACATATACTACACAACGTAAGAACATGTTTATGTATCAGAAAAAAATTTTAAAGAGAATTCTGTTGTAATCATTTGTTGGCAAAATTTGAACAAAGCCCTGTACTATAAAGGGACCCGTTGAACATTTGTCCAATTTTTGAGAAGCTTCTAAAATTCTTTTTAAATCCATTTTTTATCAGAGGCAGATCAAAATTTTCATATAGCACATTTAAAAATTATGAAAATTCCTGTCACAGCAATATTTTTGTCAAATTTTTGCAAATTTAAATCCACTCACAAGAACCTGCATGAACAATATGCAAAATCTTGTGGGGAAACCCTGCAGAATGGAGCTGCCTAAAGTGACAATGCAAATGATAATGAAAGTAAACAAACCTCATAAGTAATATCCAGTATTTTGGGAAGTAATTCATCCTTATTGATTTCAATTACTGATTCGATTAATTCTCCACTGATTGGATGATTACAATATATTCTTAACTATGAAATAAAAATCATACGTACATGTATTAGATCTAAATCATCACTTTTTGTCACTCTTACTTTACGCATTGAATTCTTTGCTTCTTGTTCCTTTTCTTTTGGTACAACAAAGTCCATTTGTCTAACCTATATATAAATAATAACAATAACCTCTTTTATGAGTTGAGCCGATGTCAAGATTTATTAACTGTAAGGACCCTGACCTGCTTAATTGGAAGCATAAAGGAAATTATCAAATTATTTTATTAGAAATCCACGCCCATTATGACATGAATATCTACACTCCCATTTTCATGACGGCGGTGCGGAGAGATCACTCATGGATCACTGAAAAGAAAAATGTTATTCACAAACTTATTGGAACCAAAGGAGTTTATTCATATAAGCCGGCAATTCTATCAAAATAAACACTGTTTTACAGTGTTTTGACTTATGCAACATGGAGATAATAGCAATGAAATGCTGTTACGCCATTGTCCTTGTTACATGGCTTTGTTCCTTACTCTGTCCTGTAAACTGCACAGTTGATTTTACATTAGTTGAAGGAACAAATGGATCGACTATTGTAGAAGCAAGCATAGCCAAAATAGCCCATTCATCCATCTTCACAGATAATGATCAGCAGATGTTGCGGCGCATCGCTTACGCCGAGACAAGAGACGGAGCCAACAATGACACATATTCGTCCAATGGTGGGATATGGGGAGTTGGAGAAACTAAGTACAATGCTACTAAAAACACTGGCTCTAACTCACAGCTCCAACAAAAAGTACAGGGAATTTCCACTAATTTTGGAATCAACTGGCTCACCACTAATTGGACTGACCTGAGGAAGCCATTTTATTCTGCTCTTGCTGCTCGACTCTATATGTTAGTCATCACTCAATCAATTCCACTGGCATCTAACATTAATGGTCAGGGAACATATTGGGCTAACTATTTTACAAGTTCTGGTGGAACTCAGTCAGATTATGTGACCGCTGTTAATCAGTTATTGGTTTTGCAAAGTAAGGTGCTATAGTCTGATTTAGAATGTATTTATTATTTATTATAGATTGCAGTGTAAATGCGCTTGATTTATATTTTGTCATGGATGCATCTGGTAGTGTTGGATCCTCAAACTTTCAACTCATGAAAAACTTTGTCTATAACATTGTTAATAGTTTTAATGTTGGCAGTGATAGTGTCCGTGTTGGTGTAATGTCTTATGGCTCATCCAATTATTACCATTTCTACCTAAGCACTTACACAGCAAAATCATCTGTACTCACTGCTATTAATAATTTACCTTACAGTGGTGGAGGTACAAATACAGCAGGTGCTTTGGATGGAATGAGGACAAGAGGCTTCTCTACATCATATGGTGCACGTCCCAGTAGTCAAGGAGTACCACGGGTGGGGATTGTTATAACTGATGGACATTCAAACAGTTATTCAGCCACTGTAACAGCAGCTAATAATGTACATAATGCTGGCATCATTGTTTTTGCTATTGGCATTGCAGGAGCAAATCAAAATGAGCTCAATGCTATTGCATCTCAGCCGTCTTATGTGTCTTTCCTTTCCTCGTTCAGTTTGACACTACTGAATTCACTTCAATATACTATTAGCCAGGAGTCTTGTGTTGGTAAGTAAAACTGCAATTATTTTCTGTTTATTACAAGCATGAATTTCTTTGTAGCATCACCTGATGTTAATTTGGGTGAGACTATTTCAGATAATATTGGATCAGGGGAAACAAAGTACCTCAATTACCCACTCCCTAATAATGACCAAGGAATTACTGTTGTCCTCAATGTGACAAATGGCTCAGCTACATTGTATGCATCAACAGTTGTTTCCACTCCTAATGAAGCCTTTCATGATGTCCAAATTACAACTGACAGATATGAAGATGTCTATATTGATCCAGCTAACCTAACAAATCCATCCAGTGCTGATACAGTGTATATTGCTATTGAAGGTACAGGTAGTGGTGCTTCAAATCAAGTGCAAGTGAGTGCAACTCAAGGAGATACTTCTACTGGTAAGTGGTAGATTATAATAACATGTCACAAAAATATTCATTACTTTAGAGCCAGTATCATTAGATGAATTTTACAACACTCAAATTTCTGAGAATTATGGAGCAATTGTTTCAATTGAATGCAGAGCTACTGGAAAGCCACAGCCTACTCTAAACTGGTACAAGGCTGGTGTTGCTATCTCTGCCTCTAATATCAATGTGGTTAATACTACTATTGACAACACCACTGTGAAGAGTGTTATTACCATCACTGGTCTTGTTTCAGATAATGAAGGTACTTATATTTGCTTAGGAACTAATCTTCTGCCAAATGGATCTGTTTCACATTCACAATCATTTGTACTTAATGTGACAGAAAGTAAGTTTACTACAATTTTGATTCAGTAATTATAATTTGTCACAGTTATTGTTACCAACTTCACTGGTACTCCTTTAAGTTCTACATCAATATATCTTAGTTGGGCACTGCCAATAGGATACACTGCTCAGTATTACTTAGTGAATGTTGATGAACTAGAAACTAGTCGTTCCTGGACCTTTCATGCTGTAGAGAGTCATGCTAATATTATATCTTTACATCCTTACTATACATATCGATGCAGTGTGGCTATTGTTGCCAATGCAACATATCCATATTCAAATGCTATATATGTCATCACCCACCAATCAGGTAAAGCAATTGTAGTTTTTATTACTTAAAACTTATGTGTTCTATATAGCCCCCACTGGAATTATACAAGCACCGATTTCAAATCCTTTCTCCTCTTCTGAGCTGAATATTACATGGACGGCTCCACCACTTAATCAGCAGAATGGAATTATCATGTACTATATCATTGTGATAACTGAAGTAGCTACTAACACTACAGTCCAATACACATCAAATTCAACATGGCTTTTTATTTCCAATTTACACCCATACTATACTTACAGCTTCAATATTGCTGCCGTAACAATTTCTCCTGGTCCCTTTTTGATAGGAATCAATGTCACAATGCCAGAAGCAGGTAAGCTGAATCACAATAATAATAATAATAATAATAATAATAATAATAATAATAATAATAATGATAATGCAATTTTGCTGCCAAGATTTGTTGCAATTGTGAATATGCAAGCAACACCATTAACATAAGCGGTTTCTTTACTTTAATGTCATTAGAAATGTTGCTTAGCACCATGTTGCCCAGTTTCATAGAATACTTTTGAGAAATAAATTTTTATTTTCACTAATTTAGCACCCGCTTCACCTCCTACTAATGTACTCAGTTCTAGTGTTACTTCTGAGTCATTTAGAGTTTCGTGGATACCACCTTCAGCAATAGATCGAAATGGGATTATCAGGCAGTATGTCATACTGATTTTTGAAATCAGCACTGGAGTTGTTTATAATTTGACAACTTCTAATCAGTACATTATTTTTAATAATGTAAGACCATTTAGTGATTATAATGTGTCAGTCAGTGCCTATACTATCTCCACTGGACCATATTCTAATTGGATAACTATTACTACTCTAGAAGGAGGTAATATTCATTAGATTGCCAGCTCAAATAATGAATAAATTTATGTATTGTATATTTTGTTTATCTTATTCAGCTCCTAGTGCTCCACCTAATGATTTCAATGCAACAATAACTTCTCCTTACTCAGCATTGCTGACCTGGAATCCACCTCCTAATGACCAGAGGAATGGCATCATTATAAACTACATCATTAATGTAACTGTACTTGAAACAGAAGAGAATTTCACCTTATACTCAAACACTACTTCATTGTTTGTTGATGGTTTAAGGCCTTTTAGAACATTTGAATGTATCATTGCTGCTGTTACTAATGTTGGTATTGGACCATACAGTGCAATCTTCACATTGTCTACTCCCCAAGATGGTAAGTAAAAATGATAGTGGCTATGTTAATAATGTTGTGTAGCTCCATCTAGCTCACCTGTTCAAGTCCGTTCTGCATCAGTCACATCAAGAAGCTTCTCATTGTATTGGGATCCACCTTCCTACAATGATCAGAATGGTGTTATAAATTACTATATTATTAGAATAATAGAAGTTGAAACTAGTGTAACATCAGAATACACATCCTATACTACAGTTCTCTCCCTTTCATCTCTTCATCCAGCCTATACCTATTACTGCAGCATTGCAGCCTACACAGTTGCTCTTGGACCATTTTCCATTCAGTTCAACATAACCACTGATGAAGATGGTATGTAACAAGCAAGCAATATATGTATTAATTATTTGCATTTATAGTACCAACTCAATCTCCAGTAAACTTTGTTAGTTCTGTACTTTCTTCTTCATCTGTGTCTTTATCTTGGAATCCACCACCAGCAGAAAGTCAAAATGGAATAATAATTTCTTATCATTTAAATGTAACAACATTAGCAACTGGCTCGGTGTCTCTCTACACAAGTTATGACACTACATTACAAGTCAATGGACTAGTCCCATACACTACTTATACATGTTTAATAGCAGCAGAGACAAACATTGGAAGAGGACCATACACTACTATAATCACTTTCACCACAATGGAAGATGGTTAGTATAGCCTACATTATTATATGCTAGCTTCTTCGTTTCATTTATATTTTACTTTTATTAGCTCCAAATACTTCCCCAAGCATTATAACATACTTTGTTATCGATTCACGTTCAGTTGCTATTCAGTGGAATCCTCCTTCAGTTAATGATCACAATGGTATCATTAGAAAATATATCGTTGAAATAGTTACATTGTCTGGTGGTGGTAATTCGGTATCAACTTTCAACACAACTGGAACTACTGCCATCATCGGGTCGCTCATTCCATCATATACTTATCAGTTTTCTGTGGCTGCTTATACTGTAGCAACTGGCCCATTCACTGATCTCTTTAATTTGACTTTACCAGAGGATGGTAAGTAACATAAAATATTATTATTGCTGTTTCTATGATTTAATCTTTTTACATAGTTCCAAGTGGCTTTCCTAAGGAACTTTCTGTCAATAGTACTACTCCATATTCAGTTAGCCTTCATTGGGACCCTCCACTGCATGATGAACAGAGTGGTGACATTATTGGCTATGTTGTTAATGTCACTCATGCTGATACTCTTTCAACTGTACAGTATCACACAGTTGTCACTAGTATTGTAATTACTGGTCTTGACCCTTACACCACATATGTTTGTGTTGTAGCAGCTGAAACTTCTGTTGGTGTAGGACCTTTCAGCCACTTATTCTTTGTACAAACAGATGAAGCAGGTAAGGATGATTATTAAATATCAATGTTACATTCTGTTTTTAGCTCCTGACAGTCCACCACAGCATCCTAATGCTATTGCACTCAGTCCAACCAGTATACACATTACTTGGGACCCACCTCTTCTTCAGGATCATAACGGAGTCATAAGAGAGTACCGTATTAATGTCACTGAAGCAGTTACATCTACTTTCACTGAACACGTGATTAATCAAACACAGCTTGTAGTGACTGGGCTCAAACCATTTCATTTGTACTATTGTTCTATTGTGGCAGTGACAATAGATGAAGGCCCATACACAGTATCAGTATCTGTTCTTACAGAAGAAGCTGGTATATTGTATCATGTATTTTCATTTAATTTTATTTATTTTACTAGCACCATCAATGCCTCCTCAGTCTCTATCAGTGAGTATTACAAGCTCCAGATCACTGTTCATATCATGGGACATTCCTCCTGTTGAAAGTCACAATGGAATTATAAGAGAATATTCAGTCATAATACAAACTGTTCTCACTCAAGAGGAGCAAACATATACCACACTGAACAAATATTTTAATGCAACAGGCCTTGTACCATACACTACGTATAGAGTTAAAGTTGCTGCAGTAACTGTTGAGGCCGGACCTTTTACTGTCTCCCATAATATAACCACTTTTGAAGATAGTTAGTGCTATACTTAAAA